AACACAAAGAATATCAGAGAATTTTCTGGAAGCTTGGCATTCAGGCCAGTCAGCAATCAATAGATGTATAGACATAGACCCAATCTATCAACCAAAGGGGAAGATGATAAGCCACAGAAAGGTAAGAGGTCAAACAGAGGAACAGCCAACAGGAAAATGTATACAGTCAATGACACAACAATCAAAGGAAACAGCCAATCACAAACCAGTTGGCCAGGGCAAGCTACTAAGTCACTCTTGGAGAGATATTGGCAATTTAATTCACACTGAAGTTAGTGCTGATGATGTTGTCTAGCAAGACGATGAAAGCTCCACGGTTAGACAACCTAGCTCAGAGAACACACCAAACATGTTTGTCCTGTTTTTTGACGTTGAGGAAATCGTCTTTTATTTCAGTGGAAGTCATAACGAAGTAAGCTAACATTAGGTGTGCCAGGTTGAACTGCCCACTATAAAAATTTTCATAGCTATGCCCGATTCAGTAGAAAGAGAAATATAATTCATTCACTATCATGAAGAATTAGGAGAATCTGCATAGATGAGACACATGATGGTGAACTGAATAGACTTTGACAGATACTCATACAGAATGGATATCAATGCAGGATTATTAGAAAGAACTCCAAAGTCAGGTAGTAGGTTGACTAGATTTCTACAGTTTCGAAAAGGTTTACATTTATGAAAGAGGTGTGATATTCTTGCCACTATCACAAAGAACAAGTTTTCCATATATTCAAGAAGAACATTCGTTACTGCTAAACTCCTAATCCCCGTCTCCAGTAAGCAAGTTGTTTTCTGATTGTCCTGTTGTCGGAGTGATGCGTTAATTTACCTCATGATGTGTTCACAAGTTCACTTGATTCAGTGGAGTAATTTTTATTAACAGTACACACCTTCTAAACACATTCAAACATCGACAGGGGAATGCCAACCAATGTCTACTTCAGTTCTTGACTACCTCGTCATTTCTGACCATCTAGCTCCACCACAGTCTACTTTCAAGATTATCTGCAAACTCAAGCTTTCATCATCTTTTAGCTTTTCATAGAGTCATCTTTAACTGTCATAAATTGTTTATTAACCCTTTTTTTGCTAGAAGCCAATGTTGTTATATGTTGGGCATTTAGGTAATGGGATGAAGACTCACCGCTAAATTGTAAGCAAATAGAAGCGTTAAACTCTCTTTTTTTCGCTTGCTTATTGTAGTTATCCAGTTTTATTTTGTTTAATGTTTGTACTTAAAAAGGTTAAACTGAGAAATCAGCATCAACATTTCATCTTAGTTGGCTACTATTTACGTTTCTTGAGTTTCATTCTTACTCTAGTGTATTGGAAAGCTAATTTGGTGAATGAATCCTTACTTATGAGAAGCATAAATAAAGAATCCAATATGTCAAAAATTGAGGAGGTGCTAGTTTTAAAAGCCGAACCTTATAATTCTACTTCATAACAGTTAACAACAAAATAGCCTAACAACTGCTTAAGGGGGGATTACTTTAATGAGACAAGTTTATTGTAGTTTCCTTTATTATTATTATTATTAGTCCCTTGGGTTCCTAGTGGAACATATGGCTTCAGTAGCACGTCTCCAATAACCTCTGTTCTCTGAAATCTTTTGAACCTGGCTCCACGACAGCTCACAAGCTCTCATTTCCTCCTCGCACGACCTCCTCCATGTCACCCTCGGACGTGCAACTCGTCGCTTCCCATGGGGATTCCACTCGAGCAACTGGCCTGACGCGTGATGTCCCCAGTCGGCCTTCTCAGTGCATGCCCAATCCATCTCCACTTCCTCCTGCATATTTGTTGCATGATAGGTTCTTGGTTGGTTCGTTCCCCAGCTAGAGTTCATTGTTGCTTATTCTTTCTGGCCATCTCATCTTCAGTAGCGAGCGTAAGCCTCGTCTGGTAACCTCGCCTGGTTAACTAGTTCACTAGTTACTAGCCGGTCCTAAGTCCGGGTAAAGAGGGAAGGTTGGGCATAGGGCTAGCAACCCTACCACGTAAAACAAATCTAACCGCTAAAAAAACTTCAAAGCACAAACAAAATATAAAAAATGAAAACAAACTTATTCCTCGCTGGAATCGGAGAGGCGAAATGATGCCAGTTGGTGAAAGCCTTCTGGAAGCCAATTGGCTGATGTGTCTTCTCTCGATGAAAGCGAAAGTAAACGTGGGGACATGGAATGTCCCCACCATGTTTGAACCTAGCAAGGCAGCCCAGATTACAGTTTCCTTTAAGCCACTATAATTAAATCATGAATTCTATAAATTGTTGCAATTCCTACATGAAGCTCCAACTATTCAGCTCTAATGAAAAGGTTATCTTATTCATGGATCCACAAATGTAATCACGAAGAATATTCATCATAATCACTTCTTCAACTGAATTCTACGGAGTTGAATATGTTTAATATGCAAAAAAACAAGGGGCTATAGACAGGCCTATGCATAGTTTTGTTCGTTGGGAATATTGAAATGTAATTAATCTTTGTCAGTTGCATTTTGATGTTCTAGATTTTTCTCTCGAATCCATCATCATTCAAAGACACTTATTTATAGAACAGGACTGAATAAAAGGTCTGAATTAGATTCAGCAAACTATCATACGCTCAACTTTACTCATCAAGAATGCACATTCTTTTCTAAGACCGAAAGGCGAATTATGAGCCATAAAATTCCACCTTTTTCAAATTTATCCCTCCCCCCCCCCCCACCTCTACTATTCCAGCCAACTAATGATGACAAGATATACCTACAGCTTGGAGTACTTTCTTTCATTCTAGTTTCCTCTCACCTAAAGGTGTTCAGGACGAAGTTATTAAAAATAGGCTGGTAATCATTTGATATGCAACCTAATAAAATACTTTCGTAACTATTTTATAGTGCTTTATTCTACGCTATATATGACCCTAATTCATGATCTGAGTGTGTTCTGCTTGAATGAATAAGTTTGTCTTTTGAACACTAAGCAACTATCATGTAATTGGTCAATTTCTGTGTTCAACACTTGCTTTCTTATAGTTTCCTCTGATTAGAACAAGACATATAAGCAAACAATATTGCTTTCAATTATATCCTCTTCAGGCTTTCCTTACTCTAATACAAATAGCTACAGCTTCTGTTTTGTGTATAAGACGAGTTTGAATACCTCTTGAAATATGAGATGGTATGCGGCGTACAACCGTGAAAGCAATGTTCTTATCTACCGAGTGACCAACATCAACGAGGTGAGATAAAACGGAGCTTCTGATGGATTTTATCTGTCCCTTTCTCAACCCTAGAGATAGATGATCAGCAACACGTTTGTTAAGTTGCCTAGTTGTACGCCCTATATAGCTTTCTCCACAGGAGCAACTAAAAAGGGACAGATAAAATCCATCAGAAGCTCAGTTTTATATCACCTCATTGATGTTGATCACTCGGTAGATAAGAACATTGCTTTCACAATTGTACACCGCATACCATCTCATATTTCAAGAGGTATTCAAACTCGTCTTATACACAAAACAGAAGCTGTAGGAATTCCAGCTAATAATCTTAGCCTTTGTATTCAGAAGTTTGTACATCTCTTATCTCTCCCTTGGCCAAGGATTACTTAGTTAATAACTTTATCATTCAGTTGTTATTATTATTATTTCCTACCCCATTTCTTATTCCCCATCCTTTTGGTATACCTACTATATTTGTCTAAGCTTTGTTCATCTACTTACCTCGTCCTTCACTATTACGTATCTTCTATTTTCACAAACTTTTGACCCATTTTGATTATCAAAGTGTCTACACTTCTATACTGCTTTCTTGGTTCTTATCATCATTTATATTACATGTGCTTTCGTCAACGTTATCACTTTCATCAATTTCATTATTATTATTTGTATTATCATCACCATCGTTATTCTTAAAACTTTTATCACATCAACCCGACAAATCTGCATAGCTGGTTTAACCTTTTACCACCGAGTAAATCTCAAGTTAGTGAATAATCACGCAATATTCAGGAGCATCCACATAGTAGCAGCCTATATATCAACGGAAATCGATTAAATTGACCCAGAATATCAACCAGGAATTATAAGTATCAATAAGTGATAAGAAAAATGATGTGATCAATTCAATTCAGCATTCAAATTCTCATAGTTTATCGATATTCTTCTTATTATCTCTAGATCAAGATAAAAAACAATAGGTCCAAGTAGTTGATTCGTCTGGAGATCTATAGAAAAGTGAATTTAACTTAATTTTCTATTCTGATCTACAGGCATCAGAATCATCTCCTTTTTTGCACAAATATTTTCAAAGATTTCATATTTGAATTTTTGAGGGAGTTGTGAAGATTTGGAAATATTTCAAGTTGTTATTCATCGAAGACTGACATCAATTGAAGGAACAAAGGAAACCTGGAAGCACTGGAAAGCTGTTTTGTCCTAGTATGGGACTTCTTAGCAGTGCTCCCCTACGACCCCACTCTCAAGGGCTCGGACCCCGCGACCTTTAGGTTCCATGGCCAGCGCGTTACCATTGAGCTAGCCATTGGGTGGGAATCCAATGCTCCATATTTCCAACTTCTGTTAGCTCACGATATAGAGCAACCGCCACTCAATGTCATCGTTTAGTAACTGTCCTCACGACCGTCAGGCTTGACTCCACCGGTCACGACTTCTCATTACAACTACCTCTCGATGCTAGTCACCAATGAGCACCAGTTCAATTGAATTTTTGAGGGAATTGGCCACGGAACCTGAAGGTTGCGGGTTCGATCCTAGGAGGGTGGGGTCGTGGGTGCGCACTGCTGAGGAGTCCCATACTAGTCGGACGAAACAGCTGTCCAGTGCTCCCAGGTTTCCTTTGTTCCTCCAACTGATATCAGTCTATGATGAATAACAACTTGAAAGATTTCATGTTTACAAATTTTTGATCTATTGAGATAGTCTTCATTAAGAATTGTTGATTTTTCTGATGAGTTGTTTATTTATTCTTTATATATCTCTATTAATCAGGTAAATCTCAGAAAGATATGATCAGACAAATGGTTCATAGTTTCACACCGGATCGAGATGAGTATATTATGCATTCATGTTGTGATTTTCTAAAGTCGACTTGTATGTCTTCTATGAAGGATTCAGTAGGTTTGTCATGATAAAACCATTATTTGTATTATTACTATTATTATTATCATTATTATTTCGATAAAGCTGTTAGAAGATGAAGATTATCTGAAAAATGTGATATATTTTCGCGCAATACATCCCAAACAATCTGATCCCTCACACATTAACTTGTCAAGTCAATTTTTGTATGAAAATGAAAGGGTTGTGACACTAATCTTGGTAATATAATCAGATTACCAAGGATTATCAAAGTAATGCAAGTGAAACAATAAATTATTTTCGTACGTACAGCTGGGAATTAAGTTTACGAATGGCTTTCGCTTTGACAAAACTTCAGTATGCGCCCGTGACTATTCCTGTATAATATCTTGAAGGCTGTTTCGTATTAACCATGCGATTCATTTCAGTGTTTTATTATAGATTACGATAGATGTCTATCACCTTCACTTATCAATATTTATGTGTTGAATTGCCTTTCAAGCCATTTGGATATATGTTCACCTACCCTAGTCTGCATAAACAATTACTCCTTCCTATGTATGTATGCCCACACATACATGTAAATTGGTAAACATTGTGGGATGTGATGTAATCATTTATGCGAGGTTGAGGTTTGTGGTGAAGCAGGTGTTTTGTCGTCTCAACAATGATAAACTGAGCTGTATAGTATGTTTTACTGATAACAGATTTTAATCTCTGCTTCAATATCATATTACTCGTTTCCTCTTTGTATGGTACTTTAAGAAATATGTTTTTCTTCGGAATCGAGGAAACTATAGGCTTTGGGTCAGCTGGTTTTTATTATGGTTGATAAACTGTAATGGATAACGATTTTCCATTAGAGTGTCTGTCAGAAATTTATCCTCATCCTCCATCGTATCAGATGTACAAACACGTTGCGTTTTATTGAACAAGCATCTTACTAAGCTTGTATTATATTTCATCGGACAAAAACTGTAGAAATTCAAATACTGTCCTGTCCAAGTAGGCTTCCTATATATTGATCGTCTGATAGATCCATCTTCCCTCCGAAACAAGAGTATATCAAGAAATGCAAGTTGATGGTCTTTTTCTTCCTCACATGTCAGACTGATATGATCTTGTACGGTATTGTCTTTTAATAACCTCTTGGCATCCTCATCTGTGCACATATTACAAAGATATCATCCATATACCTTCTATAGAGTGTGACATTGGTGATTAGATCTTGAGCCATTAGTTCAGTATGTGATATATATACGTCAGCTAATAACGGTCCTAATGGACTCCCCATGGCTACACCATCAACTTGCCGAAAGTGTTCACCTTCGAAAGTGAAATGAACCTTATCAGTACATAATAAAAGGAGCTCTTTCAAATGAATTGAAGGAATAAGGAAAGAAGGATAATTCGAAGATATGTAATTGCAAAGAATATTAATTGTCTTCATTAGAGGCAAATTTGTAAACAGAGAGTTGACATCAAAATAATACATTTTCTTATTTTTAATATTCATATCAGTAAGATAATCAACAAGTTTAAATGTATCTTTCAGTGAATACTTACATAAACCATTATGAATCAGGTTAGGTAATTCGGCTAACCATCTCACCAATTTGTATATGGGAGACTGACACATTTACTTTGATAATCTGATTATATTACCAAGATTAGTGTCACAACCCTTTCATTTTCATATATAAATTGACTTGACAAGTAAATATGTGAGGGATCAGATTGTTTGAAATGTATTGCACGAAAATACATCACATTTTTCAGATTATCCTCGAAATTTACTAAAGTGAGTAATTATTTCAGATTATTATTATTATTATTATTATTATTATTATTATTATTTTCGTCATCAAATATTCTTTCTTTAGGCTGTTTGTATGCAATGACTTATCTTTCGAAATTCTGTCAAACATTAATGAATACAAGTGACAAAGTAAAACCTCACTATATCAAACTTGTGGCTGTATTGGTCTTAGCAGTGAAAGACTATTTACCAAGGTACATTGTAATTATTTTCCAATTTCTTACTAAATTGACCTATTATTGTTACCTTTCTTCTCGAGAAAGGTATTGTATTTATTTAATAATCGATTTTATGTGTGAAAAATTATATCTTATGCGAATGTTGTAGTAACTGTCTACTCATAACTGACATGGTGAGTAGGTAACTTTGAAATTTCGTAACAATGTAATGTCTTTCGTTAGAAACCAGGCTACATATATGTGATGTAAGGACGTTTCAATAAATCATAGCTAATATTCTGAAGTGATAGTTGGCCTGGTATATCTCTGTGATCCACTGAAATGTGCTGACTGAAATCTCTTAAGTATGTTGAATGATATGAAGGTAAATTATGTGACAGTAAAGTGACAACATTCAGGTGTTTTTCTTGGATGAGAATAGGCATATAGCCATTCTACTTCAAGTAAACACGGTCATCTCTAAACTCTGTTCACTCAGCCTTGTCTGACAGCTTTTCATCACAAGTGGTGAGGTTCTCTTTGTACTGAAGGAACCATATGAAAACTGGCTATTTTAGAAAAGCTGAATACAAACAACCTCAACCACACTTTGCTGATTCTCTGGGGTCATGTAAATATTAAAAGGTTTTCTGTTTCAGACACTTCAGGGAGATATATTATTTTCCTGTAGTAATAACAACCGCCACAGACTTCCTATGGCATGGATTCATTGCCAAGATGATGCACGTACAATTCTCTCAGTTTTTCTTTATATTAAAACTGGTGGCTAATCAGTTTGACACAAGGCTGTCTCCAGTTTCCTAATAGGAAGTTCACAATTTGACATAAGGACTTTAAACTATCGAACAATTTGTCAAATGGGAAAACAGGTCGTACGAGCTACAACTCTCCAATCCAAAACAATCGGTAAACTTTGTACCACTGGGACACCCGTATACCATTCGAGTGTGATTTCTCCCTACAACCTGATAAATCTATGTCATACATCTCATTGAATTCAACTTACACTTCATATGTACTCACTACTGTGCAAATGATGTTTATTTCAAGAGTGGAAGGTGGATTACTTGACTAAAGTCCTGTCCACTCTCCCTCAACAAACAGCTATGTTGGTGAAAATTGTCCACTTCAGTTAACGAGTAAAAATCAAGTGAGATGCAATTTTCATCTAAGAAGGCAAAATAAATATGAAGTTAGTGTTGTCAGAGGAGATATTGCTGTGCCTTCGAGAGAAGGAGGAGAAACACACTTCATTGGATTGTTTTGTTTCATTGGAAATATATTTGTCATGGAAATTATTCCATAATGCAGCCGTTTATCTGAATTCAGTGGTGTAATATTGATTTGTGGTTTCTTCACGTTAACTGAAGCTAGTTAGTGTGTGCAACTGCTTTCTTTTGGGATGTCGTGTCTCACCATATTTTTGTAAATGATTAAGTGGTGTGAATGTGCAGGCGAGATGTGTGTGGGAATGTACCATATTAGTAGTAACTTGTGCAGCTTGTGAGTACTAGACTCGTCTTTTAGTGAACAGGGGTCTTGCTAGAATATAGTATAACCATTGGTTGTACTAATCATGTATGTGAAGTCATAATTTCATGTGGTATTGTTCATGTGTTCAATTATGATTGTAAGTGAATCGGAAGTCATGTGATAGTTGGGTAGTAAGCGAGTGGCTCAGTGCTCCCTCATCTAGACTAACAAACTGACTGACTGACTGACTGACTGATGCATATAATCTCACTCCGAGTAGCTCTGATCCACGTTGAGGAGTGAAGTAAGTGTGAACATAAACTCACTTTGAGTCGTCTTAGTAATAGTGATCAGTTGCGAATGGTGAGAATGAAAAGAACGGAGGAATGCATATCCTCTGGGCAGTTGTTGAGGTGGCTGGAACGTTGAGAAGCATTTCAACAGGTCGACAATCACCACTAAACAGAAAGACGTCGGTCATGTAGCTTTCTCCATAATTTAGAAGTCTGTTTGAATCCTGACAATATTCAAAATAAAAATTAATGATCCAGCTTCGATGGACCTAATGTACCATAATCTGCAAGTAGTATTTCGAATAATTAGGACAAGAGTCACATTATCAGAAATAACAGGTCATGCTTAGCGACTGCGTTATTAGTATCACAATTCTTTGTCCCTTCCATTCTTAATGGGACTTTAAGCTTCACTAGCACGTCACAATTTCACTCTCTTCTCTACAGTCTTTTCAACATCAACCAACCACTGACTGCCAAGAAGCTTTCCTTTCTTCATCACACCATCTCATCCATGTCACCCTCACCTCACACGTCCAACTCGTCGTTTCCCATGCTGCTTCCACTCGACAGTCTGGTCTGGCCTCACCTGATGCGTAATGTCTCCAAACACTCTTCTCAGTGTGTTTATCTCCAATCCAATCCAATCCATTTCCACCTTCTTCTCCAACATATTTGTTGGGCGATGGGTTTTGGTTGGTTGGTTGGTTGATTCGTTGCCAGCCAGCTAGCTAGCTAGCCAGCCAGTCAACCAGTGAGAGTTCCTCTGACCTTATTCTTTTCACTCTGGTCACCTGATCTGATCTTCACTATCGAGTGAGCCTAGGCGGCAGTTGTTCATGTACATCTGCAGTTTGTTGGAAATGCTTTCCGTAACGTGTCAGGTCTCTCAACCATCACATGGAAGCACTGACTGACTTACTTGGCTGATATTCGTGTTGAAAATCCGGATCTCGTTCACGCTTTATGCTGAGTGGAGTGCAGTTCAGTGCAGTATATCTCCACACTGGTTTCAGATGAATGAAGCCCTGCCTTCCTGTCTTTCCGATCCTGGCCGGCTTCCACATCCTCATCTATGCCTGTACCACCTGTAGTTGAAACGATGCTGCCTACATGCGTAGGTGAAAGTGACAACTTCCTGTAGATTTCTCACGCTCATAGTGATTGGTGCTTGTTGTGGCTGTTGTTGGTTGGGTATCTTCATCATCTCTGTCTTCTCTATGTTCACCTCAAGGAATTCCCGTCTTCACTGCCCTTCCTCCTCTATCAACTTGTTGGTCGTCGCCTGTAGATCTTCGAGCTTGTGTGACATTAGACATTAGAAATAAATCCTCATAGTGGAAATCCAAATCTCCTAGGGTCTTTTCATCAGTCAAACAGCGTTTGCCCATCTTCTCACTCCTCACGGTTTGCTGCATGATCCAGTTGACCACAATCAGGAAGATCATCGGTGATAGTATGCGGCAACCTTGTCTTGCTCCTATTTTCACTTCAAATGCGTCACTGAGCTTTCTACTGTGGATCACTTGCCATGTGGCGTTTTCAAATGGCTATATAAGGATGTTGATAAAGATTTGTGGTACTTCGTATTGTTAAAGGGGTTTCCAAATTTCTTATCGGTCGACGCTGTCAAAACCTTTTCAAAATCGATGAACCTAGGTTTGAGTGTGGACTGCCCTTCTGTTCAGTTGTCTATGAGGATGCGTTGCAGTTTCATCCGCACATTATTTGTTCTTCCCGAAGCCAGCTAGCCTTTTGCAGTTGTAATTTTGAATGCAGAGCATGTTTTAGTCCCTCCAGGATGATGTGGCTTCATATTTTGCTTGAGGTAGACAGCAGCATAATTTCGCTGCAGTTCTTGCAAACACTTAGGTCACCCTTGCTTAGGAGTTTGACAAGGTAGCCCTTCTTCCAGTCGGCAAGTAGGTACCTTTCCTTCCGTCTTTGTAAGACTTCTGCAGTAGTGGTGTGAGCATGTCTGCTGCTGATGTCTCTGCGTCTGTTTTCATTACTTCTGGAGGGATTCCCCTTGGTCCTTCTGCTTTTCCGGCTTTCAGCAACTTTATGGTGATCAGGACTTCACTTCTGCTTTTGTCGGAGGTTTTGTGCTTATTGGTGGTTCTGTAGCTGGGCTGCTGGTGGTATTTCTGGACTAGTTGCAGGTGATGGTGGTGGTCAATTCTAGAGTTTTGTGAAGTAGTCAGCCTATCGTTTCCTTTGTTTCTTCTCTTTTGTGGTAATTAAGTTCCCTTCACTATCTTTCATTGGTTTCATCTGATTTGATCTCTAGCCAGATAGTAACCTGGTTATTTGATAGAGTGTTGTCAGGTTTCTGTCTCTCTTACCTGCAACCTGTTCTGCTTCACCTACAAGTGTGTTGTAGAAGTGTCTTTTGTCTTTGCGTGCACTATTCTTCACTTCTTTGTCCAGTATAGTGTTTTATAGGTTTTGTTCAGTCCCTCTTTTCGTTGTTCATCCCTGTTCATCTTCTGTTTCACCATCTTCCTCTCCTCTATCAGGTTACATCTGTCAGTGGAGGTCCATTCCTTGCCTTCTTCCTACCTAACAGAGTTATGCAGGTCGCTGATAATTGGAATTACTTAGAGAAAGAAATCTTGATATGTTGATGCGAGCGATGGTTTTATCACTATGTTATCTTGTTTGCTTGAATCTGTAATCATGTAAGGTCTGTCTAGTTGTCGAGAGCAAGCCTTTTGAGTAATCCAAGCAGATTTCTGGCATTTAGGATTTGCCACTGATGAGATTTAATAGCTCTGATAAGACCTGTAGTAGAGTTTGTGAATAACGAGTGTTGTGTAGTATGCTGGAAACTTCGGTTATTCGGAGAGTTGCATCAACATCAAAGACCTATGATTCATATAACATATTTTGATACAAACAACTTTGTGAAGCAAAAAGATACTTTAAATAATTTTTTGTAGAAATATGATGTGTAGTTGTCTAATGTAAATAAATGCTAATGTGAATTTCACTAGTCTCATCTTTTACACGATCTACAGTCGAAAATTAACAAGTTGGCAGAAGAGGCAGCGAAGACGGGACTTCAAGTGAATATAGAGAAGACAGAGATGATGAAGATACCCAACCAACAACACCAACAACAGGTTCCAATCACCATCAATGGGAAACTTAAAGGAAGTAGCCTCCTTCACCTATGTAGGCAGCACTGTCTCAATTACAGGTGGCACAGACGAGGATGTCAAAGTCAGAATAGGAAAAGCAAGACAGGCATTCATTAGCCTGAAACCAGTGTGGAGATCTACTGAACTGCACTCAGCATGTGGAACAAAATTCGGATTTTCAACACCAATCCAGTCAAGTCAGAGCTCCTGTATGGCTCAGAGACCTGGCGAGTTACGAAAGGCATTTCCAACAAACTACAGACACTCATCAACAGCTGCCTACTCTCGTTACTAAAGCTCAGATGGCCAGAATAATGAGAATAAGCAACAAGAAACTCTGGCTAGCTGGGAATGAACCAACGAAGCAAGAACCTATCACTGAACAAATATGCAGTGGAAGTGAGTGGAGATGGATTGGATTGGGTGTACACTAAGAAGGCCAACTGAGGACATCATGCGTAGAACCAGGTCGTCGAGTGGAACCCCGATGGGAAGCAACGAGTTTGGTGTCCGAGGAGAGGATGACATGGAGGAGATGGTCTGGGGAAGAAATGACAGCTTGTGAGCATTCGTGGAGCCAGGTTGAAAAGATTGCAGAGAGGAGAGTAGAATGGAGGCGCGCTACGGAAGCTCTATGTTCCACTAGGAACCCAAGGGACAAATAATGATAAATAATAATATCTTTTACACATTTCCAGACTACTGTGCAGTAGGTGTGCTAGCAGAAATCGGAGGCAAGATTTCTGCATGGTTTAATCATCTTGACGGAGTTTATTTAGTGTCCAGTCTTCCGAAAGATCTGCTGAACATTTCATTTCCACAAACTACTATCCATCAAGAATAAGGTTGCCGCCCACTATCACTAATGATCTTCCTGATTGTGGTCAACTGGATCATGCAGCAAACCGTGAGGAGTGAGAAGATGGGCAAACGCTGTTTGACTGATGAAAAGACCCTAGGAGATTTGGATTTCCACTATGAGGATTTATTTCTAATGTCTAATGTCACACAAGCTCGAAGATCTACAGGCGACGACCAACAAGTTGATAGAAGAGGAAGGGCAGTGAAGACGGGAATTCCTTGAGGTGAACATAGAGAAGACAGAGATGATGAAGATACCCAACCAACAACAGCCACAACAAGCACCAATCACTATGAGCGTGAGAAATCTACAGGAAGTTGTCACTTTCACCTACGCATGTAGGCAGCATCGTTTCAACTACAGGTGGTACAGGCATAGATGAGGATGTGGAAGCCGGCCAGGATCGGAAAGACAGGAAGGCAGGGCTTCATTCATCTGAAACCAGTGTGGAGATATACTGCACTGAACTGCACTCCACTCAGCATAAAGCGTGAACGAGATCCGGATTTTCAACACGAATATCAGCCAAGTAAGTCAGTCAGTGCTTCCATGTGATGGTTGAGAGACCTGACACGTTACGGAAAGCATTTCCAACAAACTGCAGATGTACATGAACAACTGCCGCCTAGGCTCACTCGATAGTGAAGATCAGATCAGGTGACCAGAGTGAAAAGAATAAGGTCAGAGGAACTCTCACTGGTTGACTGGCTGGCTAGCTAGCTAGCTGGCTGGCAACGAATCAACCAACCAACCAACCAAGAACCCATCGCCCAACAAATATGTTGGAGAAGAAGGTGGAAATGGATTGGATTGGATTGGAGATAAACACACTGAGAAGAGTGTTTGGAGACATTACGCATCAGGTGAGGCCAGACCAGACTGTCGAGTGGAAGCAGCATGGGAAACGACGAGTTGGACGTGTGAGGTGAGGGTGACATGGATGAGATGGTGTGATGAAGAAAGGAAAGCTTCTTGGCAGTCAGTGGTTGGTTGATGTTGAAAAGACTGTAGAGAAGAGAGTGAAATTGTGACGTGCTAGTGAAGCTTTAAGTCACTTTTGGGAATTGAAGGCGAGAATTCTAATAATATAATGCTTAGATACTCACCTATATTGTGTCATTCTTCCCCAGTCCTCATTTCACTTGAGATTGAACTTATGTGTTGTCATGTAACAGGAGGTAAAGGTGAATTAATTTGATAGTTTGATTTAGGCAATTGGCGGTTAGCCCTGGAATCAGGTTTCCTGCTTTTTGGCTCTCGTCAACAAGGCGTATCCGTAACATTGCTGGTAACTTCTCTTATTACATCAATGAATGTCGCTGGTATTTTTGAGTTCCGCATAGATAATAACCTCTCTACCATTCGCCTCTATCCAACTAACATCTATTAAAGGTGATTTGTGACAATGAGTCAAATAGCCTAGTGGCCATATTGTAGAAATGATTGATAAAATTCGATCAGCACTCAGGACCTGACAACATGATGTTGGTCACCCTTAACTGATCAGTCAATATGAACTTATCCGCACACTTCCTTTAGTTAACTCAGTTTTTGGTAAATTATTAAACAAGGTTGTAGATTTATATATTATAAATGAATGTATGCTATCCACTTTGTAAATTATATTGTTTTAAATTGTCTGTTAATTTATTTCTAAAATCCAAGAAATCAGCCTGCGAATTCAGAAACTATCTGCGGACTAGCACAAGAACTTTTGGCATTACTTTCAGTATTACCGTCTTATATAACACAATTATCTCCAATTTGGTTTGCTTGTAAATCTTACAATAGATCAAATATAATGAAGAAATCTGAAAAAAGTAAACTCTATGAAACTGAAGAGAGTAAGAAAATTGACTTTAGCCGTAGTGTTTTAAAGCATTTGCACAATATTGATCCAAATATTGCTATTTCCATTGTTAAAGAAGTACTACTTATTAAAAGTAAGTAACATATTTTTATGTGTGTTTTACAATGGATTCTTTCTTTAGTCTTATTGGTTGTATTATACCGTAGTTGATTGGACCGAATTCATAGGTCTCTTTTCGCATATGGGAGAACATAGGTACATCGAGGCAGCTGCACAGGATCCCATATGCCAATAGAGACCGATCAATTCGGTCCAATCAACGATGGGATAATACTACAAGCAATAACGCTAAAACTGTACCCGTCGCCCGAGAAGTGGCTATCGCGGCTTGGTGATCTAGTGAATTAGTAATGAATATTCGTAATTTTAGTGCTAACCGTATATATATATGTATTTTCAGGTCAACAGAATCTTGTATCGCCGATTTCTTTTTTGGAAGACAATCTCAAATAGGATGATTATTTACGTTAAAGAAACTGAAAAAGCCTAAATCTGAGATAAACTATCAGTTATCAGGACCCGTGAAAACCTAGGGGCACTGAAAAGATGTTTTGTCCTAGTATGGCGCTCCTCAGCAGTGGGCAGTGACACTTGTGAGCTCCTTCCCTGGCAGGGTCATGGGTACGGAGTCTTGAGGAGCCTAACGCTGGAAAGGAAATGGCTTCCCAGTGCTCCTAGGTTTACAATAGTTCTTCGACTGATATTAGTTAATGATGAGTACCAACAAGACCAAAATCCCAGCTTGGATACAAAAAGGCTGTTTAACATTTGCCAAACATCATCATCTGTAGCGGCTACTGACGAGATATCCGACAACATATCAAAGGATGAGTATACTGCGCTATAGTCCGCTCTATCCTTTTATACGGCTGTGAGACATGACGGTTGAGAGTAGAAGACATGAGGTGGTAACAGGGCTCTTATAACAGATATCCTCGTAGCATTGCTGGCATTTAGTAGAATCACAGTATGAGCAACGAAAAGGTCAGGTGTAGGTTACTAGACAAGACAGGCAAGTAGAATGATGAGGTTGTGAACTTAAGCCGGTAGAGGTGGCGTGGATATGTAATACGCATACCGAGCCACCGCTGACCTTGACTTGCCATACTACAGAAAGTTAAATTAAGTTGGAAGACGGTTCATTCAGGCTGACCAGACCAACATCTGATAGCAGTCCATGAAGTGTGTGACTATTGGTTGGAGCAAGGTTAGGAGATGTAGACTGCCTGATTAGGGTTCTCGGAATGAAGGAAATAAGTGGCTGAAGACTGTTGGTAACATGGCTGAAAATTAGTCACAATGGCACAGACATAATCACTCCTTGACATCTTCGAAAGCTTGAATATTTGTAACAACCGTTATATTTGTATCGTTTATTCGCTCAAACAACCCTGTCTACTCCGATGTCACTCTTTTTCTATCCACTTGTGCTTAGTATACTACTATGAAGTGTTGCAACTTGATCCGATGCACTTGTGTGTGAAGTTCTACACCGAATTCGTCAGTCAGTCATCAGGCGTTTGTTGATAAATAGTTCACGTATATTGCATATTTCCACTGGAAGCGATATTTATTAAAGTGGATTGAATTACATTTTGGCTACCAGAAAAAAAGGGGGAAACGCTGGACCGCAGAAAAGAACCTAGAAGATTTGGATTTCGCCGATACTTTGTGTCTAATGTCACACAAACTTGAAGATCTACAGGCAAAAACTAACAAGTTGACAGAAGAGGCGAGGCAGCGAAGACGTGTTTTCAAGTGAATGTAGAGAAGACAGAGGTGATGAAGATATTCAACCGAACACTACCACCAACAAAAACAACAAGTTCCAATCGCCATCAGTGGGAGAAACTTATAGGAAGTAGTCTCTTTCACCTGCACCTATTTAGGCAGCACCATCTCGACTAATGGCGACGGCACAGACGAGGACGTCAAAGCCAGCCACGATCAGGAAGGCAGCGAGACAGGCGTTCATTAGCCTGAAACCAGTGTGAAGATCTAATGCACTGCACTCAGCATGTGGAACAAGATGCGAATTTTCAACACCAACATCAAGTCAGTGATTCTATGTGATGGATGAGAAACTTGGCGCATTACGAAAAGCATTTCCAACAAACCACAGACACTCATCAACAACTGTCTACGCTGACTCGTTACTGAAGATGAGATCAGATGGCGAGAATAATAAGAATGAGCAGGAGGAACTTGGCTGTTGGGAAGGAACCAACGAAACAAGAACCTATCACTGAACAAATATGCAGTGGAAGGGAGTGGAGATGGATTGGATTGAGCATACACTGAGAAGACCATTCGGGGTTATCATGCTCCAGGTCATGCACTCGAGTGGAAGCCATATGAGAATCGACGAGTTGGGCGTCTCAGCTGAGAGTGACATGGATGAGATAGTATGAGGAATAAATGAGAGGTTGTGGGTAGTGGTGTAGTCAGGTTGGCGAGACTGTAGAGAAGAGAGTGGAATGGTGACATGCTACTGAATCCCCATATTTCACTAGGAACCCAAGGGAAAAACAAATGAAATATTATTAAACTTACATCTGTCATAGCAACCTTCAAGTGCATTACCTATTTGTTTTGATGACAAAAATATTTATTTCATCTATTAGAAGTTGAAGCTGAACAACTGTAGTTAAACAGAAAAGATTGTGAATGTCACTTGAAAATTTATATAATGAAGTGCAGGAAGTCTTTCTAATAATGTTAAATGACTTAGTTGAAATTATTTTGACTTTCTTCAATAGTTTGAGGTGATTGACTAAAATCTGAGTTTAGTTATAAACCTGTACATTCAACAAGAAGGTACATTTCTAATTTGCATAATATTACAATTTGTATAAAATTTATACATTCTTCAGAGTTAGTTGTTCTTTGGATATGCCAATGTGTAATGCTAGACATCATCATCAGTGCGTTGTAAGACTCATTAAAAAAAAATCAAGTTAATTTTATCTAAAGTAGATTATGATGTGTTACATTTAGCGGGTCAATTAAATCCTACAAATTATTATTTCACATAAGAAAACTCAATTTATATTTATTTATTTGTCTCTTGGGTTCCTAGTGGAACATAAAGCTTCACTAGCACGTCACAATTTCACTCTCTTCTCTACAGTCTTTTCAACATCGCACAACGACTGACTGCCAAGAAGCTTTCCTTTCTTCATCACACCATCTCATCCATGTCACCCTCACCTCACACGTCCAACTCGTCGTTTCCCATGCTGCTTCCACTCGACAGTCTGGTCTGGCCTCACCTGATGCGTAATGTCCCCAAACACTCTTCTCAGTGTGCTTATCTCCAATCCAATCTAATCCAATCTAATCTAATCCATTTCCACCTTCTTCTCCAACATATTTGTTGGCGATGGGTTCTTGGTTGGTTGGTTGGTTGATTCGTTGCCAGCCAGCTAGCTAGCTAGCCAGCCAGTCAACCAGTGAGAGTTCCTCCGAGCTTATTCTTTTCACTCTGGTCACCTGATCTGATCTTCACTATCGAGTGAACCTAGGCGGCAGTTGTTCATGTACATCTGCAGTTTGTTGGAAATGCTTTCCGTAACGTGTCAGGCCTCTCAACCATCACATGGAAGCACTGACTGACTTACGTGGCTGATATTCGTGTTGAAAATCCGGATCTCGTTCACGCTATATGCTGAGTGGAGTGCAGTTCAGTGCAGTATATCTCCACACTGGTTTCAGATGAATGAAGCCCTGCCTTCCTGTCTTTCCGATCCTGGCTGGCTTCCACATTCTCATCTGTGTTGTCGCCTCTAGTCGAGAAAAAAAATTCAATAAAGGTGTAGAAATTACTATTTATTGATGTTCTTGAAATTTTCCGTTTTTTTATTGGATCAAATTATTCGGTACGTCTGACTTGTCCGAAATAAGACGAAAGGCGTTTCTTGGATTTTTTTTGCTAGCCAAAAATCAAACAAAATACGATAAATAACATCCATGCAATATCAAGGCATTAGCATAGGAGCCCGTATGTTAATAGAAGTCGACCAATTCGATCTAATAAAACAACGGAGAATAACAAGTTTGTCAATAAATAGTAATAACTATTACCCTTTGTACAGGGCACCTCTCGTTTCTACGTGGAATAGTGGATTATACCTTGGCACCAAAAGGCCGCGCGTACGAGGATCGAGCCTCATTGGGGACATCATCGCTCCACGCATGGGTGCAGGTTCATCCAGCCGACAATTCAGGAATAGGATGAGACGTGCTTCCTGGATTCCTCTACAACGGACCTGATTTTAGTGTAGTGTAGAAATGCTTTGAATAATCATAATAATGAACTGTCCGAATCCTACTATTTTTATTAATTTTATCTCAGTTTTTATTTTATTTTTATGAAATAATCAGTACTAAGGTGTATTGTAATTATTTTTAGATGTTGATATTATTACGAATGTAACTACAGAAGTAGATATATGCTCAGAAGTTTTCTATGATTTTGTTCAACCAATTATTGAACCCATTTTTAGTGGTAAGTAATTTTGTCAATGTTAAATATTTCAATGAATAAAAATACAATTTACATATTGAACAAAATATACCCATTTAATCATTAACAAGAACAAGGCACGTGTCAGTGAAGAAGTAATATTTCTTTGCCACAACTTCATTATCAAACTGTACAATCGTATTTATACTCAGTAAAGTGACAGATAATTACACTGAAAAGGGAGTTACTCAGTCAATATGCAAAATATACAATCGGTATAGGTGGTGGTATTTGTTCAAGGCGGTCATTGAATAAAGAACGAATTGATAACAAGTGGTGAGATAAACGACAAGTGCTATCAAAGAATTGTAAAACGGTGATAATTAAGCTGAAACGTATACAATAGGTCAATGAATGAAGAATGGATTGATATTAAAAAGGGAATTATGGGTCAAATGTTGTCAATGAAGTGAAAATTGGTGATAATGATGATGACGATAATAGAAGAGAAGTATACCAAAGTGAACTGAAAATTGATAAAAGTAACCAACAAGGAATTGTTAAGGCCAAGGTAGAGAAAGTGGTTTCACAAAAAGCTTTTGGAATGCAAAGTTTCGGTTTTTGTTCATGTATGCATAATGCTTCAGCTATGCATAAGTGGTGGAAAAGTAAACTTTGTAAATTATTTTTAAAAATGAATCTCAAGGTACTGAGTGTCCTAATTCAACAAGGGCCCGCTTACAACGTCCAATATAGTCAGCTCCACAGGAGCATATGAACTTGTAGATACACATAGACGTAGACATAAGTGGAAGCCTATCCTTCAAGCATTGATGAATCAGACGGCGGCTGGAGAATATCAATCTCCATCAACGGCAGAAACTTAAAGAAAGTAGTCTCTCTCACTTGCACCTATACAGGCAGCACCATCTCGACTACTGGCGACGGCACAGACGAGGACGTCAAAGCCAGCCACGATCGGAAAGGCAGCAAGACAGGCATTCATTAGCCTGAAACCAGTGTGGAGATCTAATCCACTGCACTCAGCATGTGGAACAAGATGCGAATTTTCAACACCAACAACAAGTCAGTGATTCAATGTGATGGTTGAGAAACTTGGCGCATCACGAAAAGCATTTCCAACAAACCACAGACAATCATCAACAACTGCCTACGCTGACTCGTTACTGAAGATGAGATCAGATGGCGAGAATAATAAGAATGAGCAGGGAGGAACTGTGGCTGGTTGGGAAGGAACCAACGAAGCAAGAACCTATCACTGAACAAATATGCAGTGGAAGTGAGTGGAGATGGATTGGATTGAGCATACACTGAGAAGACCATTCGGGGTTATCACGCTCCAGGTCATGCACTTGAGTGGAAGCCAGATGGGAATCGACGAGTTGGGCGTCCGAGGCGACGGTGATATGGAGGAGATTGTGTGAGGAAGAAACGAGAGCTTCTGGGTTGTCGTGGAACCAGGTTCAAAATTTTGCAGAGAAGCGAGTGGAATGGAGACGTGCTACTGAAGGCCTATGTTCAATTAGGAACCCAAGGGACAAATAATCATATTTGGATCAATCAATGTCGGGTAATGGCGAGCTATAACATAAGACATATATATATATATATATATATATATATATATATATATATATATATATATATATATATATTTCAAAAACTGACTTTCTCATTACTTTAGGGTTTTTGTTTTATAATCATTTGAGCATTGGGAAGAAATTATCGTTTTATCTTTTCAGTTAGAAGAATGTCTTCAATCTTCTTCTGCTTTTATGGTAACATTTAAAACTTACTGTAATACTGACATTAGATATAGTCACAGTGGGTTTTTAATCGAATAATTCTAACGTTTCGCACAGATATCTGTTCCGAACTTCGTCAGGGAAATAATTAAAATTAAAATATCAAGGATATATAATAAATGAGTCCAAAAACGTGTATTTAATGTCCTTATCCAATCCACTTCGTATAGTCATTGTCTTCTAAATTATGATAACTAATCATCCAGTGTGAAATTGTATGTCTTTTGTTGTATTCGTGTGGTTGTGTGTATGTTTATATGCACCCCAAATCATATTCATCTTGGTAAAGATGAATAGTGGTTAGCAGTGGAATCCATGATGTGCATTTCGTTCCATTCGGGACTCATCAGCTGGATGTACCTACCTCCCTGTAAGTGATGTTGTTCCCACCAGGATTCGGAATCTGGATCTACCGCTTCAAAGGTCAGGATATTATCCACCACACCAACTAGCCACGATAGCCACTTCTTGTGCGATGGGTATAGTTTTAATCTCATTGCTAGTATTATCTCATCGTTGATTGGACCGAATTGATCAGTCTCTATTGGTATAAGGGCCTCTATGCGGATGCCTCGATATACCTGTGTTCTAGTCATGGTAAAGATGAATAGTGGCTAGCAGTGGAATCCAGGATGCGTATTTCGCCGTATTTGGATAAACCTGCCTCCCAGTGAGTAAGGTTGTTCTCACCGGGATTGTAAATATCAGACAAAAAGGTCACAGGTGACATTATGGTCATTCGGTAATGTTATAAGTACAACTGACTGGATGAGACGGATATGTATGCAGTTTCATTTGAAATAGGGTAGTGAATAGTATTAAAAAATTTTTCCGTTGATTTACAAGAAAAAAAGTGAAGATGACTAATGATAATGACGTTAATGATAAAAACGATAATGAATTAAATCAATCCAAATTTTGTTGTTGATACAGAAATAATGAAGTTGATACTAGTGTTGACGATAAATGCTTTGAGTCACTTTTTCTGCTTACTAATTAGTAATTGCCAAAAGGCAGCTAACTGTACTCCATCTCGTCTGGATTTGCCCATATATATAGGGTTTCGGTTGTCAATCTTTCTTGGTATGACCAAAAATCTTTTTGTGGAACCTTAGTTCCGTCAAAGTCAATTTTGTGTCGCATTTCTATGAAGTGTAGCATGATCGCAGATTTGTTTTCTAGTTTCTTAACCACTACTGAGGTTTTTAGGATCTGGTTTAAGCATAGTTTATGCCTACTGATACTCACACTTACCTGCCTGGCTGTTTCCCCGACATATACTGCAGAACAATCTCCGCATTTGATTTTCTTTAAGTACTACATTTTTAACTTTCATTAAGTTAGAATGTAGAGTATTCGCTGCACGGAAGTAAATTCTTATATCTTGTTTGTTAAGAATCGTTTTTATTTCTTCTGAAGTCTCCTTACGGTACGGGATTATGACAGTGCTTATCCAGTTCTTTGGAGACAGTTTCGGTTCATCCTTAATTTCATTTTTTTAAAATACCTTTAACAAAATCTTTGGGATAATTGTTTACTTCCAGTGTGAGGTCAATTAACTTTAAGAAGCTTGAACTAGACTTTCATGCGAAACAACGTTGGAATTATTTGGTTTCAAATCAGCTGTGACTTACACAAACACAATCTATCTATCTATCTAATGTCAACCTTTTACTCAGAGCCCAATATTCTCCATACTATACGATTAAATCTTGATCATAGTTTATATAATAAACTGTAATACTTCCCAAACATTCCTCTAGGTTATCTATCTTCGTCTACTCTACTGTATATATGGGATCAAGTAATATTTTGTATTGGTGGAATGGAACCTGTTGAATCCAGCGTTAATTATACATTGAGTTGTTTCTTAGCTACTTTTATATTTCTATGTTGGATAAGATTTCGTAATGGTGATATACTACAATCACATGAATCATCATTACCACAGAATGAACAAATGAATGAAGCCAGTGAACAAAAAGGAAAATTTTCTTCATTTTCCAGATGTTTTCAATTAGTTGGTCCAAAATTACATGAAGATGACTTTAAATTCATAGTAAGTGTTTTACTGTTGAAGTGTACTTTATGATTATCATATTTTACACTTTTTATCGAGCAAAGATGAAGGGAACTTCTAACTCAAACATGAACTAGCATTCTTAGTAAGACATTACTGTTCGGCAACATACTCTTCAAGCTTACTGATGAATCGTGGCTAGCAGTGGAATGCATGATATGCATTTCGTCCTATTCGAGATTCGTCAGCTGAACATACATGCTTCCCAGTCAGTGATGTTGTTCCCATCAGGATTCGGACTCTGGAGCGACTGCTTCAAAGGCCACAGCGTTATTCACTACACCACCGAGCTACGATAGTCACTTGTGCAACCGGTATAGTTTTAGTATGATTGTTTTTATACCATACCGTCGTTGATTGAACCGAGTTGATCAGTCTCTGTTAGCATATGGGCTCCTGTGCGGATGTCTCGATATTGCCTGCGTTCTAATTATGTTGATGATGGATCGTGGTTAGCAGTGGAATCCAGGATGCACATTTCGTCATATCAACGACGATATGATAAAAAACAATTATACTAGAACTATACTCGTCGAACAAGAAGTGGCTATCATGGTTCGTTGGTGGAGTGGTTAACGCCCTGGAGTTTGAAGCGATCGCTCCCGAGTCCGAATAGTGATGGGAACGACATCACTTACTGGAAGCAGGTACATCCAGCTGACGAGTCCTAAATAGGACGAAATGCACATCATGGATTTCACTGCCAACCACGATCCATCATTAACATAATTAGAACGCAGGCAACATCGAGACATCCGCACAGGAGCCCATATGCCAATAGAGACTGATCGGTTCGGTCAAATCAACGACGGTATGATATATAAACAATTATACTGAAAAAAAGGCTTGCAGTTACACCTTCCAAATAGCTAATCACTTTCTGCATGATAGACATCTTCAAACAAGGAAAATGAGAACGAATATTTCAAAGAGAGTTTTTAAAACATGAGGCATCTGTTTTATCATTTCGACAGTGTTATGTTTGTTGAGCTAAATAGCTCAATCATGACGTGTTCGTTGATAGAATCATGCGACCAATCTATCAACTCTTCGATGGAATTTTTAGAAAAGATCAAGCATGTTGATATGAAAAAAATGATGTTATGTTTTGATGTTACAGCTCTATACATCACAATTGAACTAAAACTGGCTAAGAATACAATGACTCTTGTCTTTAACAATGATATCCACCTCTTGGAATACATACATCTACAATGTTTATACCTTCAGTTCAACGGCACACTCCACAAACTGACAAAAAGAACAGTTAGTGGGATTGCCTATATCAAGACCAGTTGTAGAAGCAGTAATGTAAACATTGGAAACTCTGATATTGCCACTTGTTCAGACCAGACTTTGAATTCACTAAGGAGATCGTCATCGTCTAGAGAAAAGAATTGAAAAACTCCTAAAAATTCGCCAACAACATTTCCAATAACATCAAATTCATAAATGAAAAGAAATCAATTAAAAATATTTGTATTGTTAGATATTCTTACCATCAGAGAGGATTTAGGGGGAATCAGAAACTGAATTATCCAACAAGCCAACTCATACACATCAAATTCGCCACCATAAGAGCAACAACTCAACAACACACAAAATCAATTATATAAAAACATTGTTGAGAAGAGCAAAAACACACTAAGATACATCAAACTTGACTGACTACCTTCCAGAACAATGACCATCATACAACTTCATCAAAAGATGTTCATCTAACTCACCATCAACCAAAGACTCATTCTCAGAAACCAACATATCGATTGTCTTCATTCACATAATCAATTTATTCCACAATCCAACTAGATTACTGAAGCCATTCGCAATGGCTGTAACCCATGAGAATTGACAAAATCTCTTCACTCCATGTTATACCAGTCAGAAGATATGACAGTGAAGGGAGACTAGTTAATGATTATCCACAAAATAAATTGTAGAAACTGTAAGAAGTAGTATATTAAACAGAGTAATCACCTTCTTTGTATGTGTCCACATGAACATCAGCTAGCGGTGAAGCATCATGACTTATCTATCAATGCATATAGACAATTGTGGATATGAAGTTGACAGGTAAAATGTGAAAATCTTGCCCTGATAGAGGAAATACGAAGAATGTCAGAGACGTTTCAGAAGTGTGGTATTCACGTCAGTCAGCGATCAACAGACATATTGACAATGATCAAATCTATCAACCAATAGGAAATATAAAGGAGGTTGCAATTCATGTGAGCAGGATATTCAATAGAAATGCGTATGAAGACAAAGACAAGATTTTAGTAGGAACAACTAATCACATTCAGTGTGATCGGAGAATGCTGGTAAGCCACTGGCGGAAAAAATCTAGAGCTGAAGATTTTCTGAAGTTTGTGTTGATGATGCTTCTAGAATGGAAATGAAAACTTGACGATTAAAACATTTACCTCAAGGAACACAACACCTCGAAAACCCTCTTTCTAGTTACAAAATTCATTATCATATGTTTGTCAATTCGAGTAAAGATTTATATAGTTCATCAAATGATAGACAGGTTGTCGAACAGCATACAGGCACATGAGAGTAAATAAGTATCGACAACAATATACTGAAACGTCTATCGAACATCTAACGATGCTTTGTCGATGATATTGCATACACTTAAGTATCTAATACTTGTCTGCACACTTTTACGTATACCTGACCTCAATTTTTTCATTGATTTTCGAGTAGTTTATGCCTAAAAGAGTGTAAAGTAACTCAATTCTGTATACCATAACGACAAGTTGTGTCCTTGGAACATTATATGTATGAAGGAAATAGAACTTTTGTATTATTAGTGTTATTGCTTGTATTATTTCTTGTGAATAGGCTCAACAACTGCAATTACATTTGGATAATAACACAATACTCCTTATTCTCCTTCAAGAATGTGAACGTTGAAGGGAATGATTGAAGAAAACGTGAAGAAAGTTTACTGAGAAATTCTGTATGACTTTCCAGTAAAGAAATGAGTGTTTCATTCACTTCCATCGTAATATAATCCGATTTACTTGTATAAATGAAAGAATCATACTGAGGGGATTGTTCATAAATTCCTCATCCCAACGCTTTCTTGACAAGGTTTCACCAGGTATTTCGGTGTGCAACTGACCTGTAGAATGTTTTAAGGATATATGGCACTGCAATGAGCGATGAAGATTCATGTTGAGTAGTTGACTGAGTTTGGATAACATACAATGATATCGGCTACCTGAAATCAGAGAATGTATTAGAAAAAAGTGTCTTTATCTTTACGGTTACACTGAATATGATGAACTATCAGGTTGCTATGCAGACAGGTAAAAAACAACACACATATCGCACCGATACTTAAAGCGTCCTGCTGATTTTTCGAGTGGGATAACAGATTATGTGAGCTACAACTATGCAACTTCAAACAACCTTTAAAGGTCGTGCTTCTGAGACATCCGTATACAGTTTTAGTGTGGTTGCTCACTGCAATCTAAATATAATTGACCTTATCAGTATCATGAGATTCACAATCCACTTCATGTGGGCTTACTAGTGTAAGAGTGGTACTTCCTTCAAGAGTGAAAGGTGAATTACTTGATTGAACCTTACTTTACAGTTTTCTGTGTACTTTTGTAAAGAATAAATCTGCAACAAACAGCTACATCAGTGAAAATTGTCGAATTATAATTCATGAGCATCAAGATAGTGAAATGTGACTTTCATCTCGGTAGGAATAAAACAGTATCACAGAAGTATTCAACAAGCAAACACCGTCATAACTGTCAATATTAGGAATGCAGGTATAACTCTTTGGATTGTCCTGTTTAGCTAGGAAGACGTTTTTTGCTGATTCTGTTTCATAGTATTATATCGGCATAGCTGAATTCAATAGCGTCATACTGAATCATGATTTCTGAATAACTGGAACTTAATGGAATCTAATTACTGTATGCAACTTTGTTTTCTAGGTATAAAGTGTCTCACTGTATTTTGTGAATGATTGTGCAATTCGAACTTATAGGTACTACAATGTGTGTAGGAATGAGTGAGATCATGACTGATCTATGCTATTTGTGAATACTAGTCTTATCTCGCAGTGAACATTGTTTTCGCAAAAAAAAAACAATGTCACTAATTGGTTTATGAATCATATATGCCAAGCTTTAATTGTATGTGGAATCGTTCAGATGTTAAGTTAACATTGTAGGTGACCTTGAAATCATGTAATAGTTAAGTGGTAGGAGAATGGATCACTGCCCTTTCATCCTACTAACTGAAGAGTAGAATCTCATTCCAACTGGTTCTGATCACGTCGAGAAGTGAAACAAGTAAAAAAGTAAATCGACTTTCAGTCATTGTATTGACGATGAGATGTGGCATATAAAATCCACGTAAAGTACATGTAAAATGTTGGCGATGCTTTACTGTATACCTTCAGCTTAATCAACCCGTTAAGACTATGAAGGTCGGCATCAATGTCGAATGGCGTCGTATCATTGAGTATTGATTTTTCTTTGGAGGGGGGGGGGGTATTTACCATCATAATATTACAGATGCATATGATTCAGTTGATTTTTTCTTTCCTTTTAATTGATACCAATATAGATAAAGAAACATTTTTTCATGGATATGTTCTGTTTGTTAACTGGTACGACAAAATCTAGTACTGAGGCTTCTGCGCTGTCCAATGATGAATTATGTAAGTAATAAGTTAATTAGAAGTGTGTTCGAGTTAACAAATATTTAGTTTGGAGGTCTAGGGAAGTTGATGGATTTTATCATGGACTGACATCAGTGAAAGAACCCGGAAGAACTGGACAGCTGGTTCGCCCTAGTATAGAACTGCTCAACAGTGGGTACTCATGGTATTGACAGGGATCGAACCCAGGATCTCTTGATTTCATGGTGACCATGTTACCATTGAACCAGTGGGTTGGAAATCAATGATTAGCAGTTTTCTACTTCTTTCACTTCACAATAAATCGTAACTGTCATCCAATGCCATCATTGAGTATTGGTTTGACCACCGATTTGGCTTACATTCCACTCCTGACAAGCTTTCAAGGGTTCCCCAGCTGACGTTGGTCCTTGATGAATACTACCTTGTAACAGAGATTTGTTAGATAAAAATCAAAATTTTGAATTTCTGTTAAATATAACCATTCACACAGTCTGTTGGAAGACCACTGAAGATCAATGTTCATTGAACAACTGCTTTTATTTATTCTTGAACTGCTCAATGACGTTTACAGCAAAAATCAAATCCTATCAAGTTGAATATCTTTATATCTTCTTAGCTATTCATTTACCCGTCAGGCAGTGAATTAGAACTTAAAACCGCTAGATCTAACTGTTATATTCAATCTACAGTATGTTATGATTCTAATTAAATAACACCAACAATCATCAATCTAATTTCGCAACTGCTTTAACACTACGGAATGCCATAAACCTTTATCAACCTCATTCAACAACTATATGAAGACGCCCCATACCAAGTGATCCACAACGGAAAGCTCAATGAAGCCTTTGAAGACAGGGGATAAGAGTAAGACAAGGCTGCCTGCTATCACAGATCATCTTCCTGATTGCAGTCGACTGGATCATTCAACAAACAGTGAGGAGTTGTGAGAAGATGAGCACATACTGGACCGGGGAAAACACCCTAGAAGATTTGGATTTCGACGATGATGCTTTGTGTCTAATGTCACACAAACTCGAAGACCGGACTTCCTTCGACTGAATGTAGAGAAGACAGAGGTGATGAAGATACCCAACCAACACCACCGCCACCAACAACAAGCTTCAATCACTATCAGTGGGAGAAACTTAAAGAAAGTAGTCTCTTTCACCTACACCTATATAGGCAGCATCGTTTCAACTACAGGCGGCATAGCCACAGACGAGGACGTGAAAGCCAGCCACGATCGGAAAGGCATCAAGACAGGCACTCATTAATCCGAAATCAGTGTGGAGATCTAATGCACTGCACTCAGCATGTGGAACAAAATGCGAATTTTCAACACCAACATCAAGTCAGTGATTCAATGTGATGGTTGAAAGACTTGGCGCGTCACGAAAAGCATTTCCAACAAACCACAGACACTCATCAACAACTGCCTACGCTGACTCGTTACTGAAGATGAGATCAGATGGCGAGAATAATAAGAATGAGCAGGGAGGAACTGTGGCTGTCTGGGAAGGAACCAACAAAGCAAGAATCTATCGCTCAACAAATATGCAGTGGAAGTGAGTGGATATGGATTGGATTGGGCATACACTGAGAAGACCATTCGGGATTATCATGCTCCAGGTGAGGCACTTGGGTGGAAGCCATATGAGAATCGACGAGTTTGGTGTCCGAGGAGAGGGTGACATGGATGAGATGGTGTGAGGAATAAATGAGAGGTTGTGGGTAGTGGTGTAGTCAGGTTGGAGAGACTGTAGAGAAGAGAGTGGATTGGAGACATGCTACTGAATCCCGATGTTCCACTAGGAACCTATGGGAAAAATAAATAATTATAATGTACGTATAAATTATTCAACATCTCTTGTATTTATGCTATTGAGTTCTGTGAGTAAAGAATGAGAAGTGATCAATGGAAATGATAACGTTAATGAAAAGTATTTCATAGTTTAAAGAATTTTTATTTACCATTATATGATTTGTAAACCACTTAGATGTCATTCATGTATTTTTATATACTTCCTCTCTTAAGATGAATTTAACACGATCACAATAGTAGTTTATTGGTTTTTTTCTTTTAATGATTCACAGTTGAAGAATTATTAAAAATATTCATTCATTTTTTTTAATTTCTATTTTCTTTCAGTAACATTGATTGAATGGTCATCAGTTCTTCAAAATTCTTCTTTAACAGATCCAAATAAACGAATAGAACAAAGATTATTACGTTATACAGAATTGAAAAAGTAAGTGAAATATGAATTTTTAGTTTTCTAAATACTGTCAAACATATTTTAGCTTATTGTTACAGCTCATTGAAGTGAGTCTGAAGTAAAGATCTCTGGAATTCAGATTAAAAAGAATTGAAACTGTTAAAAAAATACCAAAAATTTTTTAACGGTACAGTGAACTAAAAGTCTCTCAGATCTTTTGAACCTGGTTCCACGACAGCCCACAAGCTCTCATTTCCTCCTCGCACGACCTCCTCCATGTCACCCTCACCTCGGACGTCCAACTCGTCTCTTCCCATGGGGATTCCACTCGAGCTACTGGCCTGACGCGTGATGTCCTCAGTCGGCCTTCTAAGTGCATGGCCAATCCATCTCCACTTCTTCCTGCATATTTGTTGCGTGATAGGTTCTTGGTTGGTTCGTTCCCAGAGTTCCTTCTTGCTTATTCTTTCTGGCCATCTGATCTTCAGTAACGAGTCAGCGTAGGCAGTTGTTGATGAATGTCTGTAGTTTATTGGAAATGCCTTTCGTGACGCGCCAAGTCTCTCAACCATACAGGAGCACTGACTTGACGTTGGTGTTGAAAATCCGTATCTTGTTCCGCATGCTGAGTGCAGAAGATCTCCACACTGGTTTTAGGCTAATGAACGCCTGTCTTGCTTTTCCGATTCTGACTTTGACGTCTTCGTCCGTCCCGCCTGTAGTTGAAACAGTGCTTCCTAGATAAGTGAAGGAGGTTACTTCCTTTAAGTTTCTCCCGTTGATGGTGATTGGAGTTTGTTGTTGTTGTTGATGGTGGTGGTGCGGTATCTTCATCACCTCTGTCTTCTCTATATTCATTACATTACATTACATTCATTACATATATACTGTTACAATAATTAATGTTTCATCCACGGATAGTCCTGAAACAATTGACTCTATTTCCAAAGTATATTTTTCAATAATCAAAATATCAAGATGCTGTCTCAACCTAGGAAATCTATGACTATTGGTCTGAGCTGGGAACATAAGTACTATCTCATAATAATAATAATAATAATCGCTTTATTCCAAACAATATGTATGACAGTATAGAATTCTCAGCACGCAATTTTCTAACAAATTCACTCCTAGAACAATAATTTCAGACGAAACAGTTATTACATCTGTTTAATGTTAGTAATAACAGTAATCAAGACATTCAATGAAATAACCAGATGGTTCTGGATGAGTATTCAATCCATAAGAAAGAATCAACAGAAATACAAGCGTAATTTTGGTGGTGGTGGTGGTTCATTCAGATGATACACAAATTTGCTACTCAAGTTAAACATCTAGTAGATAGAAATATGATGTAATTTTTTACACTGAAAAGTCCATTTCCATACAACGTAACACTTTTTTTCTCTGCTTTGTTATTGACTCGAGAAATGGAGAATTGGAAACAGTTTAAAAATGTTCCAGAGTACATTTTACCTTCAAAAGGCATATTCAAACAATTAAAACAAATTAAAAGGAAAGAATTTGATGAAAAATGTTCAATGCATAAATTTGGTGACTTAAGGTTCAAGCAGGCCAGCATTATCCTTCTATCTGGTTGGGGTCTTTCAGATGGTAGGAAGAATACCAAGTGACCCTTGGTGGTATAACTAATAAGTGAACACTATAGTGCAAACTTATTAGGTTTTCATCACTTCTGAAGTTTTGAACATTATTCTCTATCAAAATGTTCTACATCTACGGTCATTTTTCATTATCTTCCTTCTGTGCTATTTTGAAACTGTGTAACTCAAATTGATACGCTTCTATCCAGGATTCCATTTTCATTTATCTGTTTGTTTAAGAAGGACAGATTAACATGTTTTAAAAAAGTAGAACCTTTCACAAAAATCTGTCAACTTAACTAATCCCAGTTGGCCAAACGACAGTCAGAAAATCAAGAAAAGTTGTATAGTAATAGTATAAGATCACCGTAGGTTTCGAGGTATCAGAAATCGTGTCTTCTAAGAACATGATGCGAAGTGGCGTAAACAGAAATTAACATTTAAGGTCATCAGCCACTATGGTAGAAGATTTGGATTTCAAGTTTTGTTTCATCTCACTGTACTATTGGGAAAAACCTTATTGGACAATTTGTTTTACACTCGACCAATCAAAACAAACCATTTAACTTTTGACCTTGAGATTTAATATGTTGATTAAAACTGATGCACTTTGGTCAGAGGGAAAGTTCTTCTAACAGTCACAAGCCTGTCTTTGTCTTCTGAATTTCGCGTCTTGGTGAAGTATAAGGTACTGAGGGAGAACATTCTCTATTCCTTTTCAGTTCAAGTATCGCATCACATTAGTATCTTTCATGTATTTATTGCTATTCACTCGATGACTTTAAAAGATTTCCGTGAGGCTATTAACCAGCGTTATCACTAATGAAGGCCAGTCTGATGACACTTTTTTTCCCCTATGCTTCACAAACATTTCATTTAGTCTAAGACGAAATTTCTAATCATCATTTTTAGGAACTACTAAGTAGTAGGTGATGCAATTTTTGCTTATAGTTCTCAACTGCTAATCTCTTACTTATTGAGATCCTTAGTCGGGAAACCTCGCTAAACTTCGCTTCATTGCTCAAAACTAATATCTGCCCCTTTGTTTGGTCTGATCACTTATTTCAATCATACTGTATTACGGTTATCACCACCGATTTTTGTAAACAATCAGTAACCGTTGTTAACATATCGTCAATTTATCTCAATCGATATACATAAACAATCTTATTAACTAACCTACCTACTTCAAATGATATTCAGCGTCTTACTGCAAAACTGTTCACTCAGTACCTTCCATCATACATCAGTACTGCTTTGAAGACATTGATGGTTAAAAAAACACAACTTTGCTTCATATGCTTTCAACAAATATGTCTTACAGTTGTCTTGCAAGATTCAGTGTTATAATTGTCTTATGATTGATGGTTGGTTATCTAGTTTGACATTGGTTACAGGTGAAATGAACATTCATCATAAATTTATTTATAACTGACTGACTGACTGACCGAAAAAATCAATATATAACCTAGGACAGAGGTGCATCGACTCAATTTGCCACACTTCACAGTAGTATACAAAGAACATATGGAGAGAAAAAGACTGATTTCAAAGTAGACAAAGCTGTATGACAGAATAAATAATATGGAAGTATAGGTTAGTGCAAATACTCAAGTTTTAGAAGATGTCAACGAGTGAAAACATCTGTGCCATTGTGACCAATTTTCAGCCATGTTACCAACAGTCCTCAACCACTCATTCCTTTCATCTTGGGAAATCAGACCAACAGTCAGGGAATTCATCCAATGTTTCCATCCATCCATCCAAATCAACATAGGAACAGGCATTACTCCATGACGGTTCGAGTTACCGCAGCTCAAATCAGTTCATCAAGTAAAAAGGCAGTGAAGTGGAAGATGATGAGAAGAAAATTCAGTCAAAGGAAATATAAAATACCCAGAGAGAATGAGAAAATGGTGAGATTCGGTATAGCAATGAGATGAGGATAATGTGTGCATACATCTGTGCCACTGACATACGTTCTCAGCCATGTGATCACCTAGAATCTCCAACCACTGGCTTCTCTTGTCTCGTGGACTCCATCCGGCTAGTCTGCATCGCCCACAAGGCTCAAATAAACAGTCACAAATTTCATACACTGATGGCATAACTTGTCTGACCGCCTCAAGTCTTCTTCATCCCTTCTGAAATTACTTCATCCAACATTGTGCAACGAGGCAGACAGTGGTTAGGTATACGTAACACATGTCCCAACCATCTCAGTCGATGTGAGAGACATGAAAGAAGGTCAAAAGTTAATGATGTGGGAGGTGGATAGCAGTCTGAAGAAACTTTAGTGCTGATAGAGTTGAGAGGGCGGTTGACACTTCCGGCTGCCCACACCGTGGAAGGATATTTCTTCTTCAAGTACATGAAAGAGATTTGCGCGACCGCAGAGCTCATCGGACATCTGCCTAAGGTTTGTCACGCGCAGCCTTTTGTGTATGGTTGTTTTGGGACAGGATGGTCGAAAAGGAAATGATAAATGAACCAACAACTCAGGCCTGGCAGACAGAGGGGCTTGGTGGAGTGTGTTATTATTCTAGCAGCCGCACCTTCCGTTAAGAAGGCAGAATCAGCGTGGCACTACAGGTCATTCAAAGGAACTACCTTACTGCTGTTACACCCTATCCATCTAACAGCTATACGGCTTCGCCCTCAGACCTCCATCACAGTGTAATAATTCACACCAAAACGGTAACTGCCTTTCGTCTTACCACTATCCAACAGACCTTTCTGGTATGGTATCAGGACAAGATTTTCACATTTTACCTGTCAACTTCATATCCACAATTGTCTATATGCATTGATAGATAAGTCATGATGCTTCACCGCTAGCTGATGTTCATGTGGACACATACAAAGAAGGTGATTACTCTGTTTAATATATTACTTCTTACAGTTTCTGCAATTTATTTTGTGGATAATCATTAACTAGTCTCCCTTCGCTGTCATATCTTCTGACTGGTATAACATGGAGTGAAGAGATTTTGTCAATTCTCATGGGTTACAGCCATTGCGAATGGCTTCAGTAATCTAGTTGGATTGTGGAATAAATTGATTATGTGAATGAAGACAATCTATTTGTTGGTTTCCGAGAATGAGTCTTTGGTTGTTGGTGAGTTAGACGAACATCTTTTGATGAAGTTGTATGGATGGTCATTGTTCTGGAAGGTAGTCAGTCAAGTTTGATGTATCTTAGTGTGTTTTCGCTCTTCTCAACAATGTTTTTATATAATTGATTTTGTGTGTTGTTGAGTTGTTGCTCTTATGGTGGCGAATTTGATGTGTATGAGTTGGCTTGTTGGATAATTCAGTTTCCGATTTCCTAGAATTTTTCCTGGTAATTGGAACATCTGACACGGTAACGAATTTATATATGAATATAAATAACTATGAGCTTTCACAATAAGTCTTAGCCACATGATTATTGGCGGTTCACACTAAGTAATAATGTATTTGATAAACTGTTTGTTAAATTCGTAGAATTCATAATCTTTTTTTCCAAACAGAAAATAAAACCGTATAGTAATGATGGTTAGTGGTTAGCAATGGCATCAAGAATGCGCAATTCGTTCTGTTTAGGACTCGTTAGTTGGATGCACCTCCCTCCCTCCGGGATTCGATCGCGGGACTGGTCGCTTTAAACACCAGAGCATTTTCCACTAGACCACCAAGCCGCGATAGCCACTTCTTGTGAGATGGGTATGATTTTAGTGCTATCGCTTGCATTATGCTATCGTTGTTTGGACCGAATTGTCCATGTGCCAATCGGGAGACCGGTCAATTCGGTTCAATCAACGACAGTATAATACCAGCGATAACACAGAAAAGAAAATTAGTAATTAATATGAAGACGCCACATGACAAGTAATTCACAATGGGAGGCTCAGTGATGCTTTTGAAGTGAAGACAGGGGTAAAATAAGGCTGTCTGCTATCACCCACGATATTCCTGATTGTGGTCGACTGGATCATGCTACAAACGGTGAGAAGCGAGAAGAAGGAGATGCGCTGGACTGTGGAAAAGATCCTAGAAGATTTGGATTTCACCAACGATGATGATTTATGTTTCATGCCGCACAAACTCAAAGATCTACAGGTGAAGACTAACAAGTTGACAGAAGAGGCACGACAGCTAAGATGGGACTTCAAGTGAACGTAGAGAAGACGGAGGTAATGAAGATACTCAACCAACACCACCAATAACAAGAAAAAGCTCCAATCACCAGCAACAGGAGAAACATAAACGAAGTAGCCTCTTCCACTCCCTATCTACCTAGGCAGCATCCTCTCAAATACAGGCGGCACAGGCACAGACAACGATTTTAAAACCAGCATCGGAAAGACAACAAAACAGGCGTTCATTAGTCCGATAACCAGTGTGGAGATCTAATGCACTGCACCACACTCACCATAAAGCCTGAACAACATCCGGATTTTCAACACCAACGTCAGTCAAGTCAGGCAGTGCTTCTATGTGATGGTTGTCAGAGTTGGCGTGTCGCGAAAAGCACTTCCAACAAACTACACACATTCATCAACAGCTGCCGCCTACGCTCGCTCACTCGATACTGAAGATGAGATCAGATGGCCAGAATAATAAGAATAAGCAGGGAGGAACTGTGGCTGGCTGGGAACGAACCAACGAAGCAAGAACCGATCACTCAACAAATATGCAGTGGAAGGAAGTGGAGATGGATTGTATTGGGCATACACTGAGAAGGCCGAGTGGGAACATCACGTGCCAGGCTAGACCAGGCCTTCGAGTGGAACACAAATGGGAAACGGCGAGTTTGGTGTCCGAGGCGAGGTTGACATGGAGGAGATGGTGTGAGGAAGAAATGAGAGTTAGTGAGCAGTCGTGGTGCCAGGTTGGAAAGATTTCAGGGAAGAGAGTGGAATGGAGACATGCTACTGAAGCCGTATGTTCCACTAGGAACCCAACTGACAAATAATAATATTTTCTAAGTTGATATGTGTTTTCCTGACCCTTCATCTTTTCTTTATAGATTACAAGCAACTGAAAATGATTTGACGAATTTGAAAAATGAATTGGAAAGTTATAAACAAAATTACAGGAAGCGACAAATGAAATTTCACTTTGTAAGCAAATTATCAGTCAAAATGAAAAGCGAAAACCATATTTACCAACTATGGTATGTTTAACTACTTTCTAATCTACATTTTCTATACTAACTTATAGCTTAAAATTATCTGAGAAATAGCTTCATTTCAGTTTTTTATTAGTTGTAAGCAATTTACAGTAGTGAGGAACTAGTAAGTTACCAGATAAAATATTTTAAACGCTGAAATTCAAGAAATGTTCTCAAAAATTGTTCGATTACTCATCTGCTAATTGTAAAGAGAAAACTCTATACATATGAATGAAACTAAAAGAAAAGTCATAGGTAATAAATGAAGATTGAAATATGTGAATAATCCTAACCGGTAGCTGCTATCTTGTTGTAGTGGTCTGGCATACACATCACAATGACCTAATGAGCTACACTGGTTGAAAGCCTGTTGCCTCAAAGTCCTATCATACTATAAAGGTCAGTTGGACAATGACAGAGAAGTAAACAATTAACTATTATCATGAAAATTCGAAAACCATGCTTCAGTGGTGAATTCGTACTACTGGCTGAACAAGGTCGTGACAACATAAGATGTTTCTAAGGGACGATAAGGATTACTGTGTCGACGCCATTTATTTTTTGGAAACTTTTAATTAGCAGAGGTTGACCCCAAAAAAGGAACACTTTCTTTTACCCTGTGGAATAGATCTATGGATGGATTTTAAAACTCAAACTTCTGAAAGGCTTGTATGAGAATAACGTTAAGCAGATATCTCTTGGGCTTTTCGACCAGGAAATAACCCTCCTTTTTGACGTAACTTAAGAGGAAATAGTCTTCCACAATTTTGGCAGCCAGGAAGTGTCAGCAGCATTCACAACTGTATCAGTACTCAACTGTAGGTACATAAATAATAAAATAAGGATAAAAATCAGAGAATAGACGGTAAGGAAATTGTGGGATTAAAAAAACGGCCTCGGAACATATTCCAAAGTGGCTTCAGAAGTAAATTAAATCACCCAAACCCATAAATGTTGGTAGCAGACGACCAAGTTCTTCGATCGCCAAACATATCGTTGAGACAGGTGACAAGATTGATGTGGCTACTTCCTTTACACCTTTTTACAAAACATGTTGAGGAAAGATCCTGAAATTTGTTGAAGCCTTAGCTATTAGGAAGTTGAAACCATCTTTATGTGTTCATAAACAATTTGTTGTCACATAAAATCTTCCTTGGTAAATTCGACTGTTGAAAACCAGGTTCAATGTACTATTATTTTTTCGCTCTATTGGTTTTCATTGTTATTCGGCCTTTAAGTCAGCCTTCCAACCTGACTCCTTTTTATTTTCTCACCCCTTATCTTCATGAGTTTTTATATAAATACCTATGACAAGTACGTGTGTGATCAGATAGTTCGAAATGTGTTGCGCAAATACATTACACGGTTCAGACAATTTACGTCTTCTTATTGTTTTGTCGAAGTTTTAAAAAAAATAGTTTTAATTATTTAAAGTTGTTATTCATCGTAGACTGGCATCAGTTGGAGGAACAAATGAAACCTGGGAGCACTGGACAAATCGCCACAACTCCCTCAATGTTCAATTGAACTGGTGCTCATTGGTGACCAGCGTCGAGAGGTCGTCCCGAAGTTCCAATGAGAAGTAGTGACCGGTGAGGGCAAAGCCTGATGGTCGTGAGGACAGTTACTCAACGATGACATTGGGTGGCGGTTGCTCTATATCGTGAGCTAACAGAAGTTGGAAATATGGACTATTGGATTGTGACCCAGTGACTCAATGGTGACGTGCTGGCGGCGGAACGTGAAGGTCACGGATTCGATCCGTGGCGGGGTGGGGTCATGCGTGCGAACTGCTGAGGAGTCCCATACTAGTCGGACGAAACAGCTGTCCAGTGCTTCCAGGTTTCCTTTGTTCCTCCAACTGATGTCAGTCTACGATGAATAACAACTTGAAATATTTCCAAATCTCCACAACTCCCTCAATATTCAGTTTTAATTATGTCAGCTACAATAGTTTATTGCTTTGGTCTCATAAAAGCCATTTGATAACAGAACTCAAGAAGTAAAAGAATGGTCATCAGTAGGAATGTATATCAAAACAGCTGAAGTTGTTTGAGAGGATACAAAATTTGAGGATAACGGTTAGTGCAAATATTCAACTCTAAGAAGACGTCAGAGAGTGAAAACATCTGCATCACTGCCTCCAATTTTCTGCCTACTTACTGAGAGTCTCTGTGACCCTAATTAGGCAGTCTATGTCGCCCTTCATACCTCAGACTGACAAACAGGGACTTTGTTGAGTGGTGACATGTTTTGTTGTAACTGCCCTGAACCTTCTTCCAACTTAATCCAACTTCTCCTAGCATACTGCGTCGAGGTAAACGATGGCTTGGTATGCGTAACACATACCCAAGCTATTTTAGATAATGAAGGTTCGTAGTTTCATCAGTTGGCTTGCCAATCTTGTCTAGTACTCTTTGTCTGACCTCAAAATTATTCATGTGGTGATTCCACCAAATGCGAGTGATGCTACGAAGACATATGTGATAAAACTCAGTTACTGCTTCATACCTTCTGCTTTTAACAGACATGTTTCACACCTGCACAACACGACAGAACGGACTACAGCGCAGTATACTCTTCCCTTGATAGATAATCGGATATATCCCCAATCAATGCTGGAGATGACACGGGCTGACAAATGCCAAACAAACCTTATTTATCTCTGTAGTGATTTCCTCAGCAACCAACACTTTAGGGGTTGATTCAACTCCTTCGAGTAATTGCATTCGTTGATACATTTCACCACCTCACTCCCTATAGTTTAAATAGGATTACTTGCAGACCTGTCCTGAAGTATCATGTTGGATTTGTCAGGTGCCAGTGAAATGCATATCAAGCGTAATCAGATTTCTGCTTAACGCATTCTCTAGACGCTGGATTTTGTCAGCGTCTTCATGGGGCAGGGCAATATCGCTTATCGTCTACTCTAAGTCAACCAAATAGTTTTTCAGAAGTAGACCAGTCTCTATGTAGTCAGACGTACCTAAGGTTACGTCTATATAACGAAATTAAAAGCCACTGTAGTATCGGAGTCCAATAAATTATATTCTCCTACTTCTGTGGATTTGTGAAAAAGTCCAACCTTCATCCAATTCCATCGTTAAGTATTTATCATCACGTAACGGTCATGATTTCTCATTAGAACATTGAGAAATCTCATCTCAAAGCATATCACTATTTGGTAAGTATTTATGATTTGATAAATACTTCCCTATTAATCATACTAAAAACTAGAACATTGTTATATTCATACCACAGAAAAGTATCAATAAATCTATGCTTAATTAAATTATTCCACAAACTATGTAACCAATTTCGACTATAAATGGAAGTTGTAAGTTCTTTTACATCTTGGAAGTAATTTCTTGAGATATACGGTCAAGCATTTACACTGTCAATTATTTGATTAAAATTTAAGTCCATACTTTCATCAAATATTTGATATTTTGATTGAATGATAATGCCTATTACAATAGACTTTTTAGTGTTATTGCATATGGGCTTCTATGCGGATGCCTCGATATGGCCTGTCTTTTAACTATGTTTAGTAATGATGAGCAGTGGCTAGCAGTGGAATCCAGGATGCGCATTTCGTCCTATTTGGGACTCGTCAGCTGGATGTACCTGCTTCCCAGTAAGTGATGTTGTTCCCACCGGGACTGGGGAGCGATCGCTTCAAACGCCAGCGCGTTATCTACTACACCACCGAGCCACGTTAGCCACTTCTTGTGCAACGGGTATAGGTTTTAGTGTTATTGCTTGTATTACACCGTCGTTGATAGGACCGATGGTGGATGGACCGGTGGTGTAGTGGATAACGCGTTGGCGTTTGGAGCGATCGCTTCCGAGTCTGAGTCCCGGTGGGGACAATATCACTCACTGGGAATAAGGTACATCCAGCTGACAAGTCCCAAATAGGACGAAATGCGCATCCTGGATTCCACCGCTAGCCACTGCCCATCATTACTAAACATATTACAATAGACTGTTGATATAACTTCTACTGAAACCCACTTTCAGTGAAGATGGATTCACAAAAGATAATTCGAAACTTTAAAGGAGTTTTGGGTATTTGGAAATATTGCAAGTTGTTATTCTCGTAGACTGACATCAGTTGGAGGGAGGAAACCTGGGAGCACTGAACAGACATTTCTTCCCAGTATGGGACTCCTCAGCAGTGTGCACCCACGATCCCGTGCTGGCCATGGAACCTATTAATTAGTAATTATTATTATTATTTATAAACCTCCGATTATTTTTAAATTGATAGGCATCAGAAAATGTTTATTTTATGATTTTTTTTATTTTCAAAGGTTGAAAAACTTATGGAGCAAAGAAGAAATTTATCTAAACAAAAGGAAAGTAATAATTCCAGTGGAAAAATAAAACAATCTCAGTACACACAAATAGACAATAACAATAATCCAAATTGATACAAATTTTTTCTTGTTATACTACAGTGTCATTAGGATACTTTTCATGGTAAAAAGAAAGAAAATAAAGAACTTGTATTACTTGAAACCTTTTTTTAATGTATTATTGACCTAAGAGATATAATATATTCTACTTACAATAACAAACTGTGGGAAGCTGTGAGAAGATAGGCACACATTGTTTGATCAATGAAAAGACTCTAGAAGATTTGAATTTCGCCAACGATGATTTATGTCGTACAAAGTCGAAGATGTACAGGCGAAAACTAACAAGTTGGCAGGAGAGTTGAGGTGAGATGAGGCAACGAAGACGGGACTATCTTGAGGTGAACATAGAGAAGACAAAGGTGATGAAGATGCCCAACCCATACCACCACCACCAACAACAACAAACACCAATCACCATCAACGGGGGAAACTTAAAAGAAGCAGCCTCTTTCATCTACCTACACACCTACCTATCTATCTAGACAGTATCGTTTCAACTGCAGGCGGCAAAGGCACACATGAGGACGTCAAAGCCAGGATCGGAAAGACAGCAAGACAGGCCTTCATTAATCCGAAGTCAGTATGGAGATATACTGAACCGTCCTGCACTTCATTCAACATAAAGCGTGAACGAGATTCGGATTTTCAACACTAATGTCAGTCAAGTAAGTCAGTGCTTCTGTGTGATTATTGAGAGACTTGGCGCGTTACTATAGGCATTTTCAACAAACTGCACATATACATGAACAGCTGCCGCCTACGCTCACTCGATAGTGAAGATCAGATCAGACGGCGAGAATAATAAGAATAAGCAAGGAGGAACTGTGGCTGGCTGGCTGATTGATCAGTTGGCAGGCTGGTAACGAACCAACCAACCAAGAACCCATCACCCAACAAATATATTGAAGAGGAAAGTGGAAATGGATTGGACATACACTGAGAAGACCGTTTGGTGACATTACGTATCAGGTCAGGCCAGGCCGTCGAGTGGAAGGCAAATTGGAAACTGAAAGTCAGGCGTCCTAGGACGACATGGAGGAGATGGTGTGAGAAAGAAATGAAAGCTTATGGGCAGGCTACTGTGGAGCCATGTTGAAAAGACTGTAGAGAAGAGAGTGCGATGGCGACGTACCAGTGAGGCTTTATGTTCCACTAGGAACCTAAGGGACAGATATATAATAATAATAATTTTGTTCATTCAAAACTTAACATTGTTTTCTCAACATTCTTTTAATTAAGCTTATACTGTGAACAACATCATTCAATAATATTTTTCATAATGGGTCAATAATCAGTGAACATATGAGAAGTAATCAAGAACGATTTTCAATCAACATAGGCTGCTACTCGAATTTTCTTAAAGAAAAATATGAATTTCTATACGTGGAGTTACGAAACATTCTGATAGACATTTGAATACAATTTTTCCTTTATCGTTTCTAGTAGTAATTATGATGTAACTGGAAATCAGTATGTAGTCAATAAAATGAATCATTCGTTAAGTGAAGGACATTAGTATTTTCCTAAGGTTATTCTTCTACAAGAATGCAAGGAAAAGTGAATTCATCCAACGAATATCATACTTCTTATTTTCACTAGTTTCAGTAATTATGTCTCGCATTGTATTTGGTTGGAGGTAATCGGTAGGAATTCCTACAACCGTGAGAAAAGTGATGTCCTGCCTGACTGAAATTTGAACTCGCGTCAGCCAATGTTGAACTCAGATACGTTACTATTGAGCCATCCGGGTGGCGATTAGCATCCTGTGAGACTAGATTACCGCAGAGTAACTGACAGAAGCAGGGTGGCAATCAGGACTAGAGATAGTGGAATTGGTTGCTTCCCAGAGACCATCTGTATAAATTTAGGTGTCAATATAAACAATGTATTTTTGAGATGAATGTAGTATTCATTTTAAGGTAGTATTCGTTACGGACTGATATCAGTTGGGGAACCACTGATGTCAGTCTATGATGAATACTACCTCAAAGTTAATATAGGTGTTTATTCGTGGTATAGTCCACTTTGAGTAAGGGGACATTTAAAAGAATGTGATCCCTTGTACACTCTAGTCTGAATTTACCAGATAAAGAGTACATGAAACACAAAACCCTAAGTGGCTATCATGGCTTGGTGGTGTAGTGTATGACGCCTTGGCGTTTGAAATGATCGCTCCCGAGTCCGAATCCCGGTGGGAACAACATCACTTGCTGGGAAGGAGGTTTATCCAGCTGACGAGTCCCAAATAGGATGAAATGTGCATCCTGGATTCTACTGCTAGCCACAATCCATCATTAACCTAATTGAAAATGACTAGAAACTAAGACAAAGATGAGTGACGCTAATAATTAATCAACCTAACAACCTCTGAAATAACCAATCGAATCTCTCTATTTCAATTTTCCCATAAAATGGGGAAATCTGACCAATGATATCAGTTGTTCTTCTTGTTGTCATGATCATTTTTACATTCACTCTGCATAGATTAATAAAAACTACATTAAAATACATTACCTTTCAATATCAATTGGTAAATAGAGTTAACACATCGTCAAAAGTACTCCATATTTGGTAAATAAGGAAACGAATAGTTTTGAAAACTAAAAATATACTAATACATCTTCAGAATAACACAGATACATATTTTTCAAGTACACAAAGTATAATTACTACCTTTTTTGTGATAAATGAACATTTTGAGCTCAAATTTTAATAGTTTGTTTGAGAAAATTACAGTATATCAAATAATTACACTGCATTATCTTTGTAAGAGACAAAAACTTAAGCAAAATCATAGATTTGAAAAGGTTTTGCTACAAAATTATAAGTTATTATAAAGTTATCATAAAACAGAGCATTAAAATGGCAGTCAACTCAACTCATTGAAAAGGCCTTCGACAGCATCGATCGAGAAGTAATTTGGCAGCTGCTTCAAATCCTACAGAGTGCCTCAAACATTTATCAACCTCATTCAATAGCAGCTATATGCTACATGATGCCACATGCTATTTGATTCACAGTGGAGAGCTCATTAATGCCTTTGAAGTGAATACAGGGGATAGGAGTCAGACAAGGTTGCTGCATACTGTCACCGATCATCTTCCTGATTGTGGTCGACTAGACTCAACTGAACTGGATCATGCAACAAACTGTGAGGGGCTGTGAGAAGATGGGCATACACCGTTTTAGCAGTGAAAAGATCCTAGAAGATTTGAATTTCGACGATGATGTTTTGTGTCTAATGTCTTATATGGCAAAAAATCGAAGAAGTACAGGAGAAGACTAACAAGCTGACGAGAGAGGTGAGGCAAGGTGAGGCAGTAAAGACGCGACTACCTTGAGGTGAACATAGAGAAGACAGAGGTGATGAAGATGCCCAACCACCACCAACAACAACAGTCACAACAAGCACCAATCACCATGAACGGGAGAAATCTAAAGGAAGTTGTCTGTTTCTGGTCGTACTGCTTTCCCGGATTTCAGCAACTTTATGGCTTTCAGGACTTCACTTCTGGTTTTTTCGGAAGGTTTTTGTTCACTGATGGTTCTGTAGCTGGGCTGCTGGTGGTATTTCTGGACGAGTTGCAGGTGATGGTGGTGGTTGGTTCTAGAGTTTTGTGAAGTGGTCAGTGTATCGTTTCCTTTGTTTCTTCTCTTTCGTGGTAACTAAGTTCCCTTCACTATCTTTCATCTGATTTGATCTCTTGCCTGATACCATGTTGTCAGGTCTCTGTCTTTCTTACCTGTTCTGCTTCACTTGCCAGTGTGTCGTAGAAGTGTCTTTTGCCTTTACGCGCACTCTTCTTCACTTCTTTGTTCAGTGTAGTGTTTTATTCGTTGTGTTCAGTTCCTCTTTTCGTTGTTCATCTCTGCACTGCACTAGTTCATCTTCTGCTTTACCATCTTCCTCTCCACTATCAGCTTCCATGTGCCCGTCGAGATCCATTCCTTGTTCTGTTTCTTCCTTCCTAATACGGTTATGCAGGTTTTTTTCCACATAGTTTTCAAAGAGTTCCAGTGTTCATCTACACAGGTTTCTTCAGGGCTGTTGCTCCATATCTCCTATTTTGTCTTGATGGCTGATGTGAAGATTTCCTTTGAAGTTTCGTCCTTCAATTTGTGTTCTGGGTGTTGAACTTGAAATTGTGGTCTATCACCACCAGCTTCTTTGAAGGCTTTCAACTTGCACTAGACAGTCTGATGGTCTGAACCCATATCTGCTCACCTTCTTGATCTTGTGTCCAGTAGGCTACGCCTCCACTTCCTTGAGATTGAAATGAAGTCGATCTGATTTTTAGTGTATCCATCTGGTGAAATCAAATCTGTCTCTTTGTAAATATCCTTGTGTCTGTACACACTGCCTCCAATCACCAAATCATTGAATGCGCAGAAGTCTGCAAACAGTTCTCCATTCTCATTCATCATTTCTCCCAGCGCTTCTCGACCCATGATGAATTCTCTTCCTGTTTTGTCCTCTCCCAGGTTGGCATTCATGTCTCCCCACCGATTAGAATTTTGATGTCACCAACTGGGGTGCGGTCTTGTCCAGTATTGATTGCAGTTGTCTGTAGAATTCTTCCTTCTTCTCTCGATCTGCATTATTTGTGGGCGCGTAGCGTAGCATTGAATGATTGTGACTTTCTTTCCTTTTGAGTTGAATCTTGTTGTTATGATCCTGGAGGAGATTGGTTCCCGCTGCATGAGAGCCTTCGATGCTGTTGTGGACATCATGATAGCCACTCCCTCAGTGTGCTCGTGGTTGTCATCTGGGTATCAATATAGGAGTAGATTATTGACTCTCCAGTTAAGAGTTTGGAGAGTCCACTTCCATTCCATCTACTTTAGCAGATTCCAAGCAATTTTTTACCATACCCTCTCATCTCTTTTTCAATCTGGGCAGCCTTGGCAGCCAGCTTCGAACATTGAGCATACATTCCGTATCCCCATCCTTACTTTCGCTTTCATCCAGAGAGAGAAGACACATTGGCTAGTTAGCTTCCCGAAGGTCTTCACTAACTGGCGGATTTCGTCTCTCCGATCCCAGCGAGGAATCAGTTCATTTTTATTTTTTATATTTCGTCTGTGCTTTGAAGTTTCTTTAGTGATTGGATTAGGTTTACGGGATAGGGTTTCTAGCCCTATGCCCAACCTTACCTTTTTATCCGGGCTTAGGACTGGTTAGTAACTAGTAAACTAGGCGAGGTTACCCGATCATCTCATCCTTGTCTACATACACCTTTAGTTTAATACTGCAAGTTTTTTTGGTTTAAGTTATGAAAAATTTCAGAGGATACTACAGCAACCGCTGAATGACCTTTTTTAATGCTAGCCAACATTTTATAACAAAAATGTTAAAAACGACTACAGTAACTTTCGCGCTAGCCAAAATTCGAAGTTTTGATAATTAGTTAGAGAAAGCTCATAGTATGAAGAAGAATAATTATGAATGCTGAATTATGCTCAATGCAATCTACATGAAGCCATAGTTGACATACGTTTCATTCTTGTCAAAACTTGTCAACTTAGCGTATTTACTTCACAACCTCGAGATAACTAATTTTCACACATAGATGACAGTCTGCATTAGCGAGTTCTGCAGTCACAAGAGTTACTAGTGGACTTTTAGAATGGTGTTAAACCTCTAGTAAGACTTGATAATAGAGACTGATAGGTCATTCGATTGTAGGCAGTGTCATTTTATCTCATCTAAGCTTACTGACAAATGTTGACAAGCACTAGACTGAGTTATAACGCTTTCTGTAAACCATCAGTTAACGTCAATCACCGCGCTACGTCATAGTATGATGCATAACTTCATGAGCACACAAATCAAGGTGTATTTTTCAGTGGTCTGTAATAATATATGTTAATTCACAATCGTTCTCCTTTGCATTCATCAACTGGACAAGTTAGACACCGTATACACATTGACCTGATATCTTATTGTTTAACACTTCATTCAACAACTTTGTAGTCCATTATAGTTTTAAGTCAATAACCTCACTTATAAGTGAGTATAGTGCTATCTTACTTTGAAAAGGTCTTCGACAGCGTCGACCGAGAAGTAATTTGGCAGCTGCTCCAATACTACGGAGTGCCACAAACATTCATCAACCTCATTCAACAGCTATATGACGATGCCATACGCTAAGTGATCCACAACGGAGAGGTCAGTGACGCCTTTGAAGTGAGGACAGGGGATAGGAGTAAGATAAGGTTGCCGCATACTGTCACCGGTCATCTTCTTGACTGTGGTGAACTGGATCTTGCAGTAAACAACTGTGAGGAGCAAGAAGATGGGCGTACGCTGTACCGTTGAAAAGACCCTAGAAGATTTGGATTTCACCAACGATGATGATTTATGTTTCATGCCGCACAAACTCAAAGATCTACAGGTGAAGACTAACAAGTTGACAGAAGAGGCACGACAGCTAAGATGGGACTTCAAGTGAAGGTAGAGAAGACGGAGGTAATGAAGATACTCAACCAACACCACCAATAACAAGAAAAAGCTCCAATCACCAGCAACAGGAGAAACATAAACGAAGTAGCCTCTTCCACTCCCTATCTACCTAGGCAGCATCCTCTTAAATACAGGCAGCACAGGCACAGACAACCATTTTAAAACCAGCATCGGAAAGACAACAAAACAGGCGTTCATTAGTCCGATAACCAGTGTGGAGATCTAATGCACTGCACCACACTCACCATAAAGCCTGAACAACATCCGGATTTTCAACACCAACGTCAGTCAAGTCAGGCAGTGCTTCTATGTGATGGTTGTCAGAGTTGGCGTGTCGCAAAAAGCACTTCCAACAAACTACACACATTCATCAACAGCTGCCGCCTACGCTCGCTCACTCGACACTGAAGATGAGATCAGATGGCCAGAATAATAAGAATAAGCAGGGAGGAAGTGTGGCTGGCTGGGAACGAACCAACGAAGCATGAACCTATCGCTCAACAAATATGCAGTGGAAGGGAGTGGAGATGGATTTGATTGGGCATACACTGAGAAGACCGACTGGGAACATCACGTGCCAGGCTAGACCAGGCCCTCGAGTGGAATTCAGAGGGGAAACGACGAGTTAGGCGTCTCAGCTGATGATGACGTGGAGGAAATCATGTGAGGAAGAAATGAGAGCTAGTGAGCAGTCGTGATGCCAGGTTGAAAAGATTGCAGAGAGGAGAGTGGAATGGAGACGTGCTATTGAAGCCTATGTCCCAGTAGGAACCCAAGGGACAAATAATAGTAATAATAACAGTAATAATAGTAATAATAATAATAGTGCTTTCCTAGACTTGTAGTTTTGGACTGACTTTTGAAAATGTAAGATCACTATTAAATGTTCAATTCGTTTAGTATATTATCTTTAATAAACGGAGTTTAGTAATTTTATTACTTTGTAATATAATATAATAAACAATTACATTGAATACATGAACTTTACTAAATTAACACCTTATTATAGAATAAAATGGGCGTAGACCTTAATTTATGTACTTGAAATACAAAGAGGAATATTAAGCTAACAATGGAATCAATCACATTTATGAAAATAGAATATTTAAGATGGTTACTTTCATTTGACAGAGTATAGAATATCATTTTATTGAACCAATGAAATAAACTACTGGATAAAATTTAAAAGAAAATTTCTTCAAAATGAAAAACTAAATTATTTCAATAGTTGAAAAATTGTCGAAGATAAACAATCATACAAGAAAAATGTTAATGCCTACAAAACCTGCACCGAATTTTAAAGGGAAAGCTATTGTAGATGGTGTTTTCAAGAATATCAGCTTACAGGATTATACAGGAAAATATGTTGTATTATTTTTCTATCCTGCTGATTTGTAAGTTGCTTTTTCTTTGTTCCATATTAGGATTTGTTTATTTGATTTATAACATACAATGATCTAATATTATTTACTTGATGACCATGTTTCAAGCATACATTATCACTGCTCATAATCATATCAATGGAATCACTCAGCACTCTCCACATCTGATTTTTATAGTTACATCACCTCATATTCTTTTTTTCTGATGGTAGTAAAAATTTTTCCATATTAATGGTATAGGTGTTGCATCATTTCTATTACATGTGTTGGGTGCGTATTGATTCGAGGAACAAAGATTCAGTAATCAATAATCCCCTTCTCTCTCTACCTAACTAAGTATATTGGACTTGAGTACATTGGTTTTATCCCACCCACCCTATTATATGGTTGTGTGTTTAGACATGCATAGCAAAAGCCAAGTGCTTTTCTAGATTATTGATCTTATTTAGGTATGTAATTCTATATTTAGATAAATTCCTATGTTCAGCTATTCTAACTGATCCCGACTGACTAGTTTGACCTATGTACTTGACCTGACTCACAGTCATAACATGCAATTTGATAGATTAGATTATTTTGCTTAATTGATTCTATCGGATCCTTAAGTCACCCTAATTCCAGCTTTGTTGAAGATTCTACGTAAAGTTTCTGAGGTACCCTCCTTATAGGGTAATACAATGGAGGCTGTGAACTTCTTTTTACTCGTATTGTCGTTATTATTCATACTTATGTTACTGTTATCTTTTCGTTTCTTGTGTGTTCGTACGAATTCCTTCATTAACTGGGAAGGATAATTGCTAACTACTAGTGCTTCTTTTATGTGCTTCACCTCCTTGTTTAGGTCCCTGCCCTGACTAGTCAGTTTATAGCTCTATCACTTAAACATTTGACTAAGCCTGCCTTAACTGACATTGGAGGAGATGATTTGAAGTCTAGATACCTGTTGGAATGTGTCGGTTTTCTGTAGACGGTGGTATCCAAACCACGGTCCGTTCTTAATTTCATCTTCCAATCCAACATAAGTAATTCTCATTGTTTATTTTCTACCTCGTAAGTGAATTGGATTGTGTCCACTACTGAGTTTATATGTGTGAGGAAATTGTCGATATGTTCTGATTTCAACACAGTAAATGTGTCACCAACATACTGCCACCATATTTTTGGTGTAGGAAGGACTAAACGCTTGTAAAGTCATATTTTCCCAACTATCCATAAATATATCTGCTACGATTGGGGATATTGGTGATCCCATTGCTACTCCTTCTGTTTGTCTGTATATTTGTCCTGAAACTTGAAGACTGTGGAGGTCAGGCATAATTGTATGCCTAATATAATCTCACCAACCGGTATCTTAGTTCTGTGAGTAAGTTCTGAGTCAATATTTAGTTGACTTCTGACTGCCTCCAGTGCCATATTGATTGGTGTTTTAGTATACAGACTAGTTACATCGAAGCTGACCATTTTTTCATCCTCTTCTATGTGTTTCTTTTTTTTTTAATACAGTTTTTGAAATTTAGTTCTAGCCTATTCCCACTGATGTTGTTACTTTTATTACACCGTCGTTGAGTGGACTGAATTGATCGATCTGTAATGGTATATGGGCTCGTTTGCACATACTTTGATATCACCATTTGTTTCAATTTTGTATTAATGATGGATAGTGGCTAAAAGTAGAACCTAGGAGACGTGTTTGGTACTCGTCACCTAAATGTCCCTGCCTCCCAGTGATAATACAATAAAATATACCCGTTGCACAAGAATTGCTTATCGTGATACGGTGATCTAGTGAGTAACGCTTTGACGTCTGAAGCAATCAATCACGTATTCGAGTCTTAGCGTGAACAATATTGCTCAGAGGTAGGTAGGTACATGCAGTTGACCAGTCCTAAATAGGACGAAACGTGCGTTTTGGATTCCACTGTCAGCCACTATCCATCAATAATACACTCCACCAATATTAAGTATTTCTATAGAGAAGGACATACTTATTGATCCAATGTGCAATGTCCTCCATAAGAATATCTCTGACGGAGGTCTCCGTCTCATCACCTGACTACTGAGAGGTTGATCTAATCGCAGGAGAATTTTCGTTAGATTTAGAATACGCAGATGATATGGTCCTGTTGGGTGAAGACGCTGACAAGATGCAGAGTATTCTGAACACTTTGAGTAGGAATTCGAGAATATTTGGGATGCCTTTCTCACCACATAAATACAAATTTTTGCTCCAGGATTGGTCTTCAACGGTCCCGCGGCTAACAACAGAGAGTGTAGTGGTTGAGAGTAGGATCAGCCCCGGTGGCTCAGTGGCCGATGAAATCTCTGCAAGGATACAAAAGGCTCAGTTGGCTTTTGCCGATTTACGCTACTTTATCCGATTGTCTATTAAGGGTCACAGCAGTTCGCTCTGTTCTAATCTATGGCTGTAAAACATGGCCATTCAAGGTGGAAGACATGAGAAGACTTCAGGTATTTGACCACCGTTGCCTTCGTAGTATAGGCCGTATTCCGTGACTAACGCAGAAGTCAGGCGTAGAGTTTTAGGGAGAAGCAGTTCAAGGTTCAAATTCTTCTTCACCTGCTTCTGCCCCGACAAATGTATAACATCCAAAGTCCATACACAATGATTGTTGTTTATATCCTATTACATAAACTTGTATTAGGTTGAGTAGTATGTATTGACTCACAGTACAATGATTAGCTTGCTAACTGATTGATTGATTCCTTGATTAATTAATGAGCTAGTGAAAACCAAAGACGAGTAAAAAGCACATTAGAATAAGAGTTTGAGGGAAGCTTTATGAAGTTTACAATTGTAATTTATGCTCAAATATGCAACTAGGCATAATACAAATATAAGTTAACTGAGCACTGGACAGCTGTTTCGTCCGACTAGTATGGGACTCCTCAGCAGTGCAGTGAGGACAGTTACTCAATGATGACATTGGGTGGCGGTCGCGCCATATTGTGAGCTAACAGAAGTTGTAAATATGGACTATTGGATTGTGACCCAGGGGCTCAATGGTAACGCGCTGGCTGCGGAACCTGGAGGTCGCCGGTTCGATCCCTGCAGAGTGAGGTCGTGGGTGCGCACTGCTGAGAAGTCCCATACTAGTCGGACGAAACAGCTGTCCAGTGCTCCCAGGTTTCCTTTGTTCCTCCAACTGATATCAGTCTACGATGAATAACAACTTGAAATATTTCCAAATCTCCACAACTCCCTCAAAATTCAATAAGTTAATTGACTTAGAAAAATGTAAGAGTAATATCATTAGAATTATTATAATTTTTTTTTTAAAGCACATTTGTCTGTCCAACTGAAATCATAGCATTTAGTGAACGTGTTGATGAATTTGAAAAAAGAAACTGTCAAGTTATTGCTTGTTCAACAGATTCTGAATATTGTCATCTTGCATGGACAAATATGGATCGTAAAGCAGGGGGATTAGGTCCAATGAAGATACCACTTTTAGCTGATTCAACAAAAGCAATATCTCGATCATATGGTGTACTTGATGAAGGGGAAGGTAATGCATTCAGGTAAATATCATAACATAATCAGATTATTACTCAAAAATATTTTTATATATGTAATATAATGGAAAAAAAAATGAAATTCAGAGCTAACAGAAGTTGGAAATATGGACTATTGGGTTTTGACCCAATGGTAACGTGCTGGCAGCGGAACATGAAGGTCGCGGGTTCAAACCGTGGCGGGGTCGTGGGTGCGCATTGCTGAGGTGTCCCATACTAGTCGGACGAAACAGCTGTCCAGTGCTCCCACGTTTCCTTTGTTCCTCCAACTGATGTCAGTCTATGATGAATAACAACTTGAAATAATAATAATGGTGGTTATAATAATAATGTTGCTAGTTGATGATGACGTAGAGATCGAATGATAACACAAAAGGGTTTTATTAATTGGAATAAATTGAAAATGCTTTGTGATTATTAGGAAGACCAAATGAAATAACACTGGAAGAAAATTAGTTATAGAACCAGTGATAATGACGATAGAATGCAAAGATTAATCTGACACAAAAGGGGGAGCGGTTGAAAAACAAAAAAGGAATGAACCACACCAAGACTAAAATAACCTAAGGCCAAAGTAGAGACAAAGACTGTACATACCTCTTTCGCATACAAAGATCAGGCTTCAATTCATGGACAACCTAGGCCTATGGTGTTTTTAGAAGCTGAACACGGAGGAAATGTGAGATGTTTGACCGAATTTGATCGACAACCTTAAAATCATTGTTTGGGTCGGTTGAATGATTGGAATCGATTAAATGTTCAAGGATAGAACTTCTGATACATTCCTTTCACCTTCATAAAACTAGGCAGAAATATGTTGTCGTATACGTGTTGACTACATACGATGGTGTTATTTCATTTGATCTTCCTAATAATCACAACTTTTAACAAAACAATTTCAGTTTATTCGAATTAACTTGTCTCATTCGTATTGCCTAATCACCTTTGGTTGTTTATTAACTTCATCATGTTTCCATCCTTGATTTAAAGTCTTACGTAACCTCTTATTGTTATCATTAAACCTTTACATCATCAACTAGCAACCTTATTATTATTCTTTCAACTCCCTCCCCCCCATTATTTAAGTTAAATCTCCCTCACGGATTACTGTCTTTAAATATATCATATATAAACGAATGTACAGTTTGAGAATAAATTCGTTGAGAAGAGAGAGTCCCCTTCGCTGAATATCTTGTTTTTAAACAAGAAAGGTAAAAATAGTTTAGGAGTAGTATTCATCATGGACTGACATCAGTTAGGGAACCATCGAAAATGTGGGAGCACTGGACAGCTGTTTCGTTCGGGTCATGGGTGCGTACTGCTGAGGAGTTCCATACTAGGACGAAACAGCTATCCAGTGCTCCCACATTTTCAATGGTTCCCCAACTGATGTCAGTCCATGATGAATACTACTTCTAAATCAAAAATCCTCATTCATCTCAAAAATACATAAAAACAGTTATCCATTTGGAGTAATACAATGGATTACTTAGGACTAGATTGATACCCCTACAGCCATCTATGGTCACTCAGATAATATAAATAAGTGACCAATCATTATTACATAACACCTCAGGTTTCCACACTTCAGAATATAAGGTATCAAGTTGAATGACAGATAAGTAGGAACAAATGGAATCAAAGGTCATGATCGCACAAAGACTTAATTCCTAGGGTACCTCTAAGCAATGTAAGGAGCTCCATTCCACTGGCTACCAGTGAGCAAAGCAAGCCAATATATTTATAATAGAGCTCACATGAATGATGAATATAATATCCTTGAACATAATGTACACTTACATTTCCTAATAGGGAATCAGGAAAATGCAAAGCATTGAACGCCTACGATTATCTCAGTCACCATAAAAACTAACTTTCTCTTCTCTTCTACTCACGAATCGCTAGCATACAAAACCATTCATAGCGATAACTAGTTGGTGACTACAGAGAGTAACATAAAACTTCTACAAAGTAAAATATTTCAACAGGTTATCTTTTAACAGAACAAAGTACCGAAAACTTAGTCAACAACTGACAAAAATAAACATTGACTAGAAAATTGGACACAGTCTACTTAATACTATTATTGCTAAATATAATCTGGAAAACTTGCAAGAATCTTATTGAATAGGTTTAAAGCTTGTGCTAATATAAAAGTAAAACCTGTGTACAGTGGTAGAATGTCACTCCATTTTTATTGATTTATTCGATTTATCACACAGTGAAAGAACAGTATTGTTTACTGGATTTCGTTTCGGATATAATTTATTATCCATAGTCATATCAGGTAACTCGACAAACTTAGAGATATCCTTTATATAATCCTAATTTCCTCGCCACTTTTTGAGATGGATAGGAGGATTTTCCGTATATCCAGAACAGGTACTGAGTCATTCCTGTCGCTGTATATATGAAGTGTTGATTCGATACACAAAGATTCAGTTATCAATCTCTCCCTCCCTCCACCCTGTTATATGTTAGTTTTAAGGATTTTCACCCTCTGTCATCCTACTGTGTGGTTGTGTGTAATCGCGTGTATAGCTATAGCTGAGCTTTTTCCTAAATTCCTTACTTACCTTACTAGGTTCTATCGATTTTGACCTACCTAGGTTTTTGTGTTCCGATAGCCAATTGACCCTGGTCGACTACTTTGACCTATGTATTTGACCTGGTAATCGTTGCAAGGGATTCGGTAAATTAAGTTATCCAACTCAATTGGGTCAATAGGATGTTTTAATCTACACAGCTTATTTCGAAGTGAGTTTGTAGGTTTAAATGCCACTCGAATCCCAGCCAGCCTCATGGAGAATTCTACGTAGTGTTTCCGAGTTGCCTTCTTTGTATGGTAATCCTGTGGAGGTTTTGAATTCTCTGTTCACAGTATTGCTACCATTATTATCAACACTATTATTGTTGCTGTTATTACCACTATTATTACTACTATTAATACCTGTGTTACTGATATTCTTTTACGATTTCTAAGGAACTTATCAATTGAATTCGGAGGGTAAGTTCTGATGAGTAGGGTGTCCTTATTGTATCTGGTTCCTTGTCTCAGATCTTCTGTTTTTCTAGTAAGCTTCTCGGCCCTTTTACTTAGACACTTTACTGAGCCAACTTTAACTGACACAAAGTGAGACGATTTGATGATGAAGGCCTTAATCATCAACAATTACCCTACCAAATTAATTGGTGAGCTCCTTAGGAGTTGTAAGTAGTAATAATAGTGGTAATAACAGCAACAATAATAGTGTTGATAATAGTAGCGCCAATACTGTGAATAGAGAATTCAAAACCTCTACAGTATTACTATACAAAGAAGACGCCTCAGAAACACTACGTAGAATTCTCCATGAGGCCGGCTGGGATTAGAGTGGCATTTAAACCTACAATTATTATTATTTTTCTCTTGGGTTCCTAGTGGAACATAGAGCTTCAGTAACACGTCTCCATTCCACTCTCCTCTCTGCAATCTTTCCAACCTGGCTGCACGACTGCTCACTAGCTCTCATTTCTTCCTCACACCATCTCCTCCATGTCATCATCAGCTGGGACGCCTAACTAGTCGTTTCCCCTTTGAATTCCACTCGAGGGCCTGGTCTAGCCTGGCACGTGATGTTCCCAGTCGGCCTTCTCAGTGTATGCCCAATCCAATCCATCTCCATTTCCTTCCACGGCATATTTGTTGAGCGATAGGTTCTTGCTCCGTTGGTTCGTTCCCAGCCAGCCACAGTTCCTCCCTGCTTATTCTTTCTGGCCATACATCTCATCTTCAGCATCGAGTGAGCGAGCGTAGGCGGCAGCTGTTGATGAATGTGTGTAGTTTGTTGGACGTGCTTTTCGTGACGCGCCAAGTTTCTGAACCATATACCTCTGTAGGTTAAAACATCCTATTGACCCAATTAAGCAGAATAACTTAGTTTAACAAATCCCTTGCAACGATTACCAGGTCAAATACATAGGTCAACGTAGTCGACCAGGGTCAATTAGGCTATCGGAACACAAAATCCTAGGTAGGTCAAAATCGATAGATCCTAGTAAGGTAAGTAAGGAATTTAGGAAAAAGCTCAGCTATAGCTATACACGCGATTACACACAACCACACAGTAGGATGACAGAGGGTGAAAATCCTTAAAACTAACATATAACAGGATGGAGGGAGGGAGAGATTGATAACTGAATCTTTGTGTATCGAATCAACACTTCATATATACAGCGACAGGAATGACTCAGTACCTGTTCTGGATATACGGAAAATCCTCCTATCCATCTCAAAAAGTGGCGAAGAAATTAGGATTATATAAAGGATATCTCTAAGTTTGTCGAGTTACCTGATATGACTATGGATAATAAATTATATCCGAAACGAAATCCAGTAAACAATACTGTTCTTTCACTGTGTGATAAATTTAATAAATCAATAAAAATGGAATTAATTTTGTGCTGTTAGGTCAAAGTGGACTACTTTCGTATAGGCGGTTTTTCCTCACGTTCAGTTTATTAATCCGGTAAATTAAAAGTACAGTTTTGTAAGAGCATTTCACATAAACACTGAGACTATACTGTATCATTTCACTTTAACTTATCATCATTTCATTATTATTTAAATTATAGAGGATTATTTATTATTGATGCCAAGGGTATACTTCGTCAAATCACAGTGAATGATCGTTCAGTTGGTCGATCTGTTGATGAAACTATTCGACTATTAGATGCATTTCAATTTGTTGAAAAGCATGGAGAAGTATGTCCTGCTAATTGGAAAGCTGGTAAAAAAACAATTAAACCAGATCCAAATGCTAGTAAAGAGTTTTTCTCATCAACAACATAAAAACTTATGTTTAACATCTCTTTCTGTAACACCATCAGTGAATAGATATACCTCATAGAAAAAGATAATGGATAATAATAGTAATAACAATAATAATAATAATAGTAATAATAATAATAATACAAATTAGTAACTGTATTAGTGAATACACTATAGAAGCGCATTTTCAGTAAAAATTACTTAAAAATACAAGGCAATTAGCCAAGAAAATTTTCTTTTTGACCAATCATTTTCAGCAGCTGTACAATCATATAATATAGTAATAAATAACTATCAGATTAGCCTATTATTGGCTAATAGATCAACATGAGGTCATCCATCAAACTGGGATGTTTTAAGATGAAATAGTGGATCGATTACAGGGGGATACGGGGCAAGTTAAATATTCACATTGTGATGATTATAAGACAGAGTTTGAAGCGAATACGTATTTTCAGTAAATTCTCGTCATGCTTTACATTTACAAATTATCATTTGACTATCTGAGATAGCCGTAGTTTGGTAGATTAGTATTTATACGGGATGATGATTGAAGGTGAGATGGAAGTCTGGACCGCGGCCGGATCCGAACCAGCAACCACCGAGTTACCGGCCCGTGCTCTACCAACTGAGCAAAACCCTTGAGGATTGAAGTGAAATAAAATTTGGTAAACAGTTGGACCTCGTAGTACACTTGGCAGAGCACCGGGCCGGTAAACCGGTGGTCGCTGGTTCGAATCCGACTGCGGTCCAGATTTCATCTCACCTTCAATCATCACCCAGTACTTACAAATTATTCAGAATAGCTATTTGATGCCAAAATCTTGCGAAGTTTGTATACATGCTCAGTAGTCAGTCCTTGTAGGTGTGTGAGTAAATTGTGTGCAGGGATAGAAGGAAATAAAATTATTGTCGCATAGCGATAATAAAACGTTAGAATACCTAATGAATTACGAAACTAAGGGCGAAAAGTAAAATGATAGTGATAAGAGTACAAACAGAGACAATATTTACATTCACCTGGTTGACCATGAAGGAATTTATTGAAATTGTCTTGGGTTGAAGGCCATGGGAGGGGGGAACCAAGAAACATCTTCTGAATACATAAATTAAGTTAATGATGGGAGGGGAATCCAGGATACGCATTTCTTCCTATTTGGGACTTGTCAGCTGGATGTACCTGTTTCCCAGTGAGTGATGTTGTTCACACCGGGATTCGGGAGCGATCGCTTCAGACGCCAGCGCGTTATCCACCACATCACCGAGCCACGATAGCCACTTCTTGTGCAACGGGTATAGTTTTTGGTATAACTGTTTTTATATGATACCGTCGTTGATTGGTACATCCAGGTGACGAGTTCCAAATGGGATGAAATGCGCATCCTGGATTCCACTGCTAGCCACGATTCATCATTAATATTATAGAACGCTGGCAATATCGAGGCATCCGCACAGGAGCCCATAAGCTAGTAGAAACCGTTCAATTCGATCCAATCAACGACGGTATCATATAAAAACAATTACACATAAATTAATTTGAAAAATTCAATTGCTATGGCTTCTGCTATGCTTAGCAGTTGGAGGCTCACAAACTTAGAGTATTGTGATAGGATTTTGTAAATAATGGTAAATGCTGAAGTTTTGTCAATCTTCTGCTCAGTATCTACTGGATGGTCGAGTATTGAAGGATTTCATTGTTCCTTTGCTCAACCACGCTGGATAGTGTTCAGTGAAGCAATGGTGGGCTTGAGGAATCATTCTACCTATGTAACTATCTCCACAGGAGAAGTTAAATTTATAAATGCACATAGATATGGCCAGATTCGGAAGCCTATCCTTCAACTCCATTGGCATCATACAGCGAGTAATAAATTTCAAACATAGTATAGTGGCAAAGAAGGTTTTTGTATGATTTTTGAGTTTCTGCAACTGCACCTCCTTTGAACCCTAAGGTTAGATACAATCGTCTCTTCGGCACCATTTGAAGGTGCTTTTCTCTAGCTGTTTTCATTATTAGTCTTTACAAACTTTTCGGGACAGGCGTTCTCATATAAGTTCTTTATTATTCTTAATTCATCGTTCAAAGTATCAGCTATGCAAATCCTACTGGCTCGGAATCTCAGTGTACGGATTAAATTTCTTTTGTACGTAAAAAGGTAAATGTTAGTAAATGTATATATTGACCAACCCGATTTCATTCGCCCTTAATTTCATAATTAAGAATTTTAACATTTTACTACCTGATCGCTACACGACAATAATTTTATTCCCTTCTATCCCTGCACACACACAATTCTCTCACACACCTACAAGGATAAGGGAGGTACTCCAGTGTGCATAAGTAAAATACTCAAAACATCGGAAATTCCCATCCAGACATTGAGAAAAAAGACTGACTGAGGGGAGAAATGTATTCCTCTTTGGCTCTACACTAACATAATATAGAGGTTTACAATTCAATCAAAACAGGCGATGTAGGGGCATATAAACAACAATTAAACACCTCTATGGCATATCTTCTTATTTCTTTTGCAATCTGGACATTCTTGTCAGCCAGCTACAAACATTGCGCGGACATCCCATGTCCTTATGCTACTTTTGCTTTCATCGAGAGAGAGAAGACATCGGCTAATTGGCTTCCCGAAGGTTTTCACTAGCCGGCGTCATTTCGTCTTCCCGATTCCAGCGTGGAATACGTTTTTATATTTTCTCTGTGCTTTGAAGTTTTTTTGGCGATTGGATCGGTTATCTGGGGTAGGGTTTCTAGCCCCACACCAAACCTTTCTTCTTTATCCGGGCTTAGACTGACTAATGAACTAGGCGAGGTTTGTGTTGATCCATAAAAACCCACTATTTTTCCTGTCTGACATTGCTTCTCAACCTCAACAGGATCGAAAACAAGAAAATCCACTCAGCAATCATGTGCACGCTCGTGAAGTAGGCAATGAACCACACCTACTGTGCAAGGACTAACGACACTGGCTAACTGCTGATAACTCCACAGATGAGGCAGGGTTTAAACCCGTGACCCACTGGTTTGAAATTGAGTCCATGAACTAATGAGCCGCAGGTCCACAGTGTCGAATTCCAACTTCAACTGGAAGCCAAGTAAGAGAGCGGTAGGTGCTATCTTGATGTGTCCATCCAGCTTGGATAATGTACTAAACTAACGAGCTACATTCCCTGAGATGCTTGTCCCCTCAAGGTTTTGACATGCCATGAAGGTCAGCTGGGTAGTGGTAAGACGAAAACAACTATGGTTATAGAGTAAGTTACCACGCTGACATGTGGGGTCCAAAGGTGAAGTTATACTGTTAAATAGATGGAATCTGATGCGTTTCCAGTCGATGGGCAGCGGTATCAGGCAATGTCAGCACATCACATTATCTTGCTTGATGTGCTGATATTAGATGGAAAAACAATGACCGTTAAGCAACAATGCCATGCCCCGTGACGATACTATCAGCAATTGGAAATCTGAGTTGGAATTTAGTTCTCTGGGCCGAATTTTGGCCAGCTGTCCTCTGTCTCGCTATCTATTTCTGACGTACTGTTTGTCACTTGCTAACTCATTTTTGACGGTGTGCACGTACTAGGGAGTCTTCACTTTGTATTTCTAACTTCGTTTGATAAGACTGTCTGTCAAGCGAGATCCGATCAACAGCGGCTACCTTAACGTCGTGGTCGGGCTTGCACATCACAATGACCCAACAACGAGTTATGCTGGTGGAACACTTGTTACCCCGAGGGCTTATCATACCAGAAAGGTCTGTTGAATAGTGGTAAGACGAAAGGCAGTTACCGTTGTGGTGTGAATTATACACTGTGATGGAGGTCTGAGGGCGAAACCGTATAGCTGTTAGATGGATGGGGTGTAACAGCAGTAAGGTAGTTCGTTTGAATGACCTGTAGTGCCACGCTGATTCTGCCTTCTCAACGGAAGGTGGGGTTGCTAGAAAAGGTCAGCACAAAAAACAAATACTCCAGTGTCCCAGCGGTGTAAGTTTTTGTCTCTCCAGCGCTAGAGCAAAGCTAAAAACAATAACCCACAAAGAGCTGCGTGTAACATACCCCAACGAGATGTCCCATTCGTACACAAGACCCAACCAGACATAACAGGTCCTCCCCAACTGTCTTCTCCTTACACTATTAGTAGACCTCTTACGCCTTACCCAGTCAGTCACTCTGGAATCACTGTCAACGATCAAAGCCATCGAAACCTCATTCCTAGTCTCCAAGGTCTCCGTCATCGACCTATCAACGTCCGGACTCTGCCAAACCAGAGAGCAAGCATCACTCGCCAGAGCTCTGTAATCTCCAGTTATGGATGCGTGCTGTGTCTCTGAGACATGTATACAGGACCCGAGTATGGTTATTTGATTGACCTTATCTGGCCATAGTGATGAGTCTTCAAAATCCACGTTAAGAGTATCCATTATACCCAATGGCTAGCTCTCGTGGATTCGGGGGTGTAGGCATACCACTGAATTGTAGAGCAGAAAGTGCGTTTCTCGACTGGATACTAGTCAACAGCTATCTATGCGCTGTTCGACTGAACAGATTTGTAAGGACTGGGAAAGATAGCTAGATTAGGTGATGCCTGTTCGTAATCTCCAACTACGCACTCACCAACTGTAGGTAGGATGATTCAAAGGATGAATTCTATGAGCTGTCAATTTTTGTACAGAAAGCAAAAGGTTCAGGCGCAATCATAATGGCAAGTGACTTTAACGCTGAAGCAGAGGAGCTGAGCTAGTCGGACAGGCATCTGGAAGGTATTTACGGAAACCCATGTCAACAAACTGACAACGTTAATCGTCTGATGCAATTTTGTTTCAAAGATCTCTGGCCAGCGCTAACTTTAGGGAAAACATTGTCTCAAATAGCGTCCGCAGACTTCAAACCAATGGATACATAGATCATACCGCATAAGTCATCCTTGGAGGACCATGGCTCTTTCTGGAGTACCGGTTTGAACTCTAAGCACACGCTAGTACGGGCTTATGTATATCTTCATCTTACTAGTCGCAGGGAACAGACGGCAGTGGAATCTGTCTATGGTCGATTGAAGACGAGGAGGACATTAAGTTCGCATTTAGGGAAGAGATAGCTAGGCATTTGTCTGAACATGACAGCAATGCTCATCTGAGAAAACCTGTCCTGATATTAAGTCTGCGGTAGAAACAGTTGTACCGGCAATCGTTAACCTACACATGAAGGTTAGCAAACGTCCCTGGATTTTCACGACATTATCCCAACTGATTGATATGTGAAGACTGGTTCCAGTTGGCTCTGACCACGACGAAGAGCGGAAGCAACTTAGGTGTTACTTGACAAAGAGTCTTCGCATCATTCACGAGCAGCGGTGAGCAGCGAAAGCGGAGGCACCAGCGGCGGTTAACGCTCAGTTAATCAAGGATACCGACAAGAAAGAGACGATGGCGAGAGAAGCCACCACCCAGAAGGACGGGACGCTAATAACCTCCCAGGAGAGGCGGCTACAGCTTTGGGCAGAACACTTCTAAGCACAGTTCAACCGCTTCAGTTGCCCAACATTCAGCTTGAACATGAACGCTACGTAAATGTCAGTCCTCCAACCCTCCTTTAGGAAAGCTGGATCCAAACTGAAACGTTGCAAAGCACCAGTACCTGACAGTTTTCTACCTGGAGTTGTGGCACCATCTAACTATCAAAAGAGTATTGAGTAAGTATATAACGCTAATCAAAGCTCTCTACACGAACGTACTCAGTCTTGTCAGTGATTATAGAAAGTTGTCTTCAAAATTTGACTAGTGGTGTTTGCAAAGAATACCCAGTGCCAGCGTTCCTATTTGTTCTTGTTATGGACATACTAGCCGACTAAACTATGCGTACGTCTGACTTCACAGGGACTAACCTACTTCTTGGAGATCATCTGGTTGACTTGGAGTATGCAGACGATGTTACCCTGTTAGATGAAGCCGCCTACAAATGGAGAGCACTCTAAACGCATTGAACAGAAATCTGAATATATTTGGCATGCATTCTTATCTGTCAAATGTGACGTGATGCTCCTAGACTGGTATGCAACCACTCCCAGTGGGAGTGAAGTGATGGAATATGTCGACCATTTCACTCACGTGGGAAGTTGTATATGCCCGAACGCACTGGTTGCTGACGAAACAACAACCCGGATATAGAAGACCCCTTTTGCATCTACCAACTAGTCTTTTGTGGCGCCGGCGAAAAATCCCACTAGATATCAAAGGACGAGTGTACTGCGTTGTAGTCTATTCTATCCTACTGTACGGCTGTGAAATATAGCTGTTAAGGAGATATCAGGGTTTTGACCACAGATATCTTCATAGTATTGCTCGTGTTTGGTGGAATCACCGTACGAGCAAAACGGAAGTTGGGAGAGGGATACCATAGAAATCGAATGAAGAGGTTGTGAAACTTAGTCGACGGAGACCGCTTCGACATGCACTGCGCATGCCGAGTCATCGTCTACCTCGAAGGGCTATGCTAGGCTGGATTGGGGTTCAGGGTGACTAGACCAAAACGCGGCATCGGTCGAAGTATAACTGTTGATTTGAATCGTGTGGGGACGATGTAGACTGACTGACCAGGATCCCCGAGATAATAAGAATGAGTGATTAGGGACTCCTGGTCACGTGGCTGAAAGTCGATCAGTGGCGCAGATGCATCCACTCCGTGGTACCTCTTAAATCTTGATTATTTGCACCAAGCTTATCTTCAGGTTATTTTCTCATACAACTTATCTTTTTTGATGCATTTTTCGGCCCAACTGTTCTTAGTGCACTACTGTTAAGTGTGGCAACTTAGATCGATGGACCTGTGTGCTAGGTTCTACGTTAACTCTGTCAGTCAGATCAAGCGAGAACCCACCATGAGAAGAAGGCAGTCAGAAATGCGTGAGAGGAGAGCAAGGAGGAACCAGAGGATGCTGGAATTCACTGTGACGATTAAGGTGATAGTATGGGAATACATTTGCAAAAGTGTAATCGGTCCTAAGCCACATTAGACTCTCAGACAGCCACGCCCTGTCGTCAAGTGGACCACAACCAACAAGCCTGCACCTACCCAAACTACAGTTAAAGAGTTCAGAGCCACATACCGTCTTTCAAACTGATCACTTCTACCTTTCCCCAGCCTAGACCTACGTTAGCTGGCGTTGGGAAATGGTGACTAGGAGTGAGTAACACCTGAAGGTTTACGTCATTAAATGAGTCTGCACTCCTCCCGAGAAGTCTACACCTAACTTCTACTTCACTGACGAGTGATACCACAACATATGACCTACGCCATGAAGGCAATAGTTGTCAAACACTTGAAGCTTATTCCTGTCCCCTACACTTAATGGTCATCTTCTGCAGTAGAACAGAACGGACAGTAACACTGTAGATCCAACCCCAACAGAAGACTGGATATCATAGCTGCGCCACAAATGGCGTAAGTTAGTAAAAGCTAAGCGAACCTTTTCTTCCCCTGTAGATATTTCGTTGGCCACTGACCCGCCAGGACTGATCCGACTTTCCGGTAGGTGACGTGTCCAACCGTTTCACTCCTAAATGTGAGACAACGCACCACTGAAGACCAGTCCTAGAGCGAGGGGAGAACGCTGGACGTTTTAAAATTGCCATCCAATGTGTGCATCAGACGCCGTAATCTTCAAATGGTAAGACAATTTCATTTGAGTACTCTACATCTACGGAGGATCCTGTGACAAAACCAACCACTGTAAAGTCTGACGACGAGACCATCATAAGAACGTCAACGATAATGAAGCAAGGATGAAGAGTGGACGTCGCTGGCAAATAGTATTTGACGTACACAACTTACCATCAGCAATACATGCCCATATGGGGTTCAATTTCACTACGAAACCTATATAAAGCCTCTTGGTTGACGGAGTGTTGTCTCCGGTTGAGAAATGCAGGGTTAGGTAGTGGTCTGAATTTCAAAACTTGGCGGAGTTTAAACATTTTGCTGTCCCGACGTCTCACTTTTACTCAACCTAGGACTGTAAATAGGTTAATTCCCTTTTTATCAGAAGATTTGTCTTCTTACAGAGGTGATCGTAACTGATTGCGATAGTTCAGCGAACTTGGTTAATCCCCAGGACCACCACCGTGAAATACCTTCGGTTCAAGTTCATCTGTCTTTCTTCTTTTCAGGCTACTCAAAGCTTCAACTTTTACAAGAGCTGGAGATGCTATTTCAATGTTCCATTCAGGATGTGAATGGTTAGCGGGCGACAGAATTCCAACTGGAAGCGCGTTCAACTGTTTGTCAGTGTTTCGTAGAGTCCCAGTCGTCTCCCCTGAGTAAATCGCATTCATTCCTTGCTATTATGCCACTAATCACAGATTTCCCATTCACCCCCCCGCTCAGTCTAAGTAACTGCAATCTTACCCTCGCCGGTGCCTTTCCCCTTTGCATAGCCTTCACTACTCACCACAGCTAGCAGCTATTGAGTAGGTTCTTCGTTGGCCTACACCTGGGCTGCTTTTGCTCCACATTATGCTCAAAGGCTATAGAGATGCGTACTCGCTTATGCATTGATTCAGACTATGCTGATACCAATCGAGTCTTTTTGACTTCACTTCTGAGAGTCAGTTACGGTCTTTAACTGTTTCTATAGCAAAACAGAGACAGCGTCAATTTCTTCCCGCATGGGTGATATTTTGTTCCTCTAAGCACTTAGCCAGTTTCTCGTTGAAAGCAGACTTCGTATTCTTATTGTCGAGCAAAATAGTCATTGTAACTTAACTTCAAATGAACACATGTCAAAACTTAAGTTTCCTAAAGAAGTGGATGGATAGCATTTTATAGTGAGATAATGAAAGGTGACACGAAGATTAAAGGAGTAACCACACAAATCCTTACCAACCAGTTTAAGGTCACATTTGTTCACCATGCTATGATAGTAAACAGATCGATACTACCCCTGGATGGATAACTATAGTGAATGTCTGAGACCAAGTTGATAAGCATTCCACAAGTCACTACAAAGAACAGTCGTAACTACGAACAAGAATAAAAGCTGCTATTAAGGCTTACCTCATTGATAACTACGCAGCCAACACAAGCTAAAAGCCATCTAATCCTCGGATTTTTGACAGGAACGCTGAGTTCAGTTACTACATACTCCCTTATGGCCTTTGAAATGTGTCATTAGAATTTCAGTGCTTGTTTGCGAGACCAGTAAATCTAATCGACTCAGAACTTGAAACTAGTTTTATGAATGCACAATGACATTGTCAAAACAAACGCTTGGTAATACGGCCGAAAGTTGATTACAATGGTGTAGGTATGTTCACTCCAAACATTTCCACTATCCTTTATTTATTATCCCGTCTTCTACATTTCTGTCAACTTCCTCTTTGCATCTTAATCCGAAGTAGCAACTTACTGATGTTCTATGTTGATTTTGTCAAGTAGATGTCTCAGTGAGGTCGTAATGGGACAGTGGGAAACTCCAGACTAGCTATCCGCCAAGTCTAAAATGTCCTACACGTTTCACCTACAGCACTTCCTCATGTCTAACCGTCCAACTGACAAAAACTTCACGCCATTTACCTTTGAGTCTAAGTCCGACAAACTATTATTACGTTCTCTTGACCTTCTGATCTAACCACCAATTCGGGTCATTATTCATCATAATTGTATTCCAACTATTCTGATCACTAAGTGTTTTAGTTCCCCGTGCACGCTCCAACAAATAGGATGGTTCCAGTCAGGAACGCTGGTTATCACAGAGCGGCAGCTCAATGATGAATCTCATACGGTTGGTAGTACTACCATCTCACCCTTTTGTACTTCGAAGATTTCTTCCAACTTTGTTGTCATAGTACAACCCAAAAAACAAAGCAAACGTAACACCCATTTTCGCAAGTGTTTTATCTCATGCTAAATGTGTACCGCACAAGCACATGGATAACCACGTGAAGTTTTTGAGCAACTAAACCAATAATACAGGGCTTTCTCCAGAAAACATAGTTAAAAAGCCAACTGATCAGATGTTGCTCGCAAGAACTACACATCTTTCGATTGACATACGACATAAATCCCCGTATGAAGAATAAAAACTAGAAGCATCCTCTAAAGATGAACTTAGTACTGAGACTAAGTTAGATATCTGATTCTACTAGCCATGTCGGTCAACAATAAGCTACCTGTCCATGATCAACGTTGAAACAAAAAGACAAACGAGCCCACAATAGATACACAGCATCTAACATTAGGAAAACAACTCAGTACTGAGGACATAAGGTTAATAATCACTCATAAATAAGAAAAAGGGATGGTTATTATGCTTCTGTAAAATTATTTGGACATGAAGAGATGATTCACTTTGTCGAAAGAATGAGAGCTACTATCAATCCATATAGACCAAGTACTTCCGCGAAAATCAGTATTAGCACCATACCAACAAACATCCTAGGTTGCTTCGAAGTCGCTCGCACTCCTGCGTCCCCAACTTTCCCAATTGCATATCCAGCTGCGAGCCCACTGATGCCGACGCTCAGCCCAGCGCCTAGATCATTGATCGACCTGCCAGGATTACACAGAAGGGAATACACTCACATAAATAGTGTATAGTTATCATCAATCCTTTGTGCAATCAAAACTGAAACAACCAGACCATATATTGCAATGATCCCCGCCATGACGACCGGTATTATGGTTTTCATAACTATATCCGGACGAGAGACCGCAATGCATGATATACTCATGCCAGAGAGAGCCGTACCATATCCGGCGCCCAAGGCTGTAAATTTAAGCTTCAAAAAAAGAAAGGGGATCTCACCACAAAATATCATTGCTGAACTACATCCCATTAATCCCAAGAATGGTGCCCACAGTGGAGCGGAAGCCATATTACTATATGAAACGCCCGCTACCGATATCCAAATCCAAATGGCTTGGTGATGAAACAAAAGAAACTAGCAAAAATGGATTACGCATGTAGAAGCAGCAGAAACTAGCTGTAGGGTCTAATAGCTTGGGTAAAGAAATGAAGGAAAAATAAGGGGAAAGGCTGCAGCATCACACGCTTCTCCGAAAACAATAGCCTAGGGGTTGCCGAGATTCAGCATTGATGCTGACCTTGATAGTCTAACTGGACTCGCTGAGCTGAAGGTACCCGGCAAAGCATCCTGCTCGTAACTGACTCTCTAGCCAGTTAGCTGGAACGCATTGGTATCTTGGGACGACCTCGCAAATATACTATACCATCCAACTTCGCTGTTGTGTTCCTTCTTGATCTTGTACTCGCAGGTGAATAACAAGTTCGAATAATTAGTGGTTGGCCTCTGCTTCTGTCAAGTTCGCACCAGGAAAAATACCAAAGGGTTATGTTATCTGATACTTATTAGGCGGTCTCAGATTGAGCTTGTGCAAGGAGACTGGTATTTGATTGTTGACAAATTTTGTTTAATATGGAATACTTTGTAGCGTCATACACTCCCCAAAATCAATAGCCTAGGGTTTGACGACTTCGACATTGATGCTGACCTTGATAGTTTAACTGGACTCGCTAAGCTGAAGGCACCCGGTCAAGCATCCTCGCCATTTGGCACGCTGTCGTGTTACGTTGCACTGCTCGTATTCGACTCTCTAGCCAGTTAGTTGGAACGCATCGGTATTTTGGCATAACCATCCAAATATACTATTCCATCCGACTACGCTATCGTGTTCTTCCTTGGTCTCGTATTCGTGGGTATACAACAAGTTCGAATAATTAGTGATTGGTCTTTGCGTCTGTCAAGTTCGCACCAGGACAAATCCTAAAACTTACCACATTTTGAATCAGACTCTCTTTGCGGCAACACATTTTCATCCCTCACTCTGTGTATTGACAGTTTCAAATCGTTCCTGGGTGGTTTGTCGCATTAAGGTCAGCGGCTATCCACAAGCAATGGGTTGTGAGCCCTGCGCGCAATGAACTCACTGCTCTTGTAATCCTAGTCAGCCAGTTCGTTTTTACGAAGCACTGTTAAATAATTCTTTTGGTGGAAACTGGGATTTTTGTTCATGTTGTTGGACTAAAAGTAAACCCTAAATACGCCGATAGCTAGTTAGACCCGACTATGGTTACCCTACAGCTGAGATCTCTACGCAAACTGACTTCAGCCAGAAGAAGTCGTACTGTCTCAAACAGACCCCTAAAGATGGCTGTAAGATAGGTGGTGACATAATCTTTGTTTTTATCTAATAGCCAGTGTAGTGTGCCTTTTTGGCATCAAAATGATCCTGGGCGTAAAATAAGTAATCATAATACATAAATGATAGCTGAATAACCTTTTACATAGGCGCCAAGTGATTTTAACTGTCCAAAATCGTCCCACTATACGTAGGTATATACGCTTTGACATTTACCATTTTTGCCTCTCGTTTGTACTAGTCAGCAGCATGTAGCTCAAAAACCTCACCTTAACCATTAACGGACAAATAAGATAATGTTCTCTCCCTAATATACTCCTGAATAATAAATAATCTGCTTTTCCAAGTACCTTTTTACCATATAACGTGCTATCCAACTTGTCTTTGGTGATCAGCCTGTCCTCGTAGATAAGGCGCCTATTACTTAGGTACTGGTGAACACAAACTTACATAAGGCCCGGTCAAGTGTTGGGTGGTAGTAAAATGAGAAGAGCCGCCTTACATAAGTACCAAGATTCGAAGCATTGATGGAGCTAGGAAAGAAACCACCACTGTCAAGGAATATTTCCCTGTTAGTGTAGTCCTGGACCAGGCTCCTCAGTGATGAATTTGAATCCGAAGTCCAATGACGGCCGAAAGCATGGCTGGAAGCAATGCAAACAGGTTAGAGTAGATCATAGTGACACATTAGGAATCGGTAGCGACCTTGGCGGAGCAGTAACTCCTACTCAGACCATTGGGAAACTAAATCTTGATTTGACTCATTCTCCTCACACTCAAGCGGGAAGGCATCTGAAAGAAAGAGATCCCAGTCTCACTACCTGTGAAACATGGCTGAAGCCAGCTACATTTCATCACCAGCCCCGGTCAATCTCAAAAGTAACTCCCACGGCTGGCAACTCAGGTGGTGTGAGTCATTCCCAAGAACCTGACAACGTTAGCTCAGCTTTCATGGAGAGGACTTCATCCCAACAGTCAGAAAAAAGCTTTGACCCTAGGTTACTTGCACTCTTTAACGTGAATGGAAAGTGTTCCTTCCCTACTGACCGATCTTGAAGAGCGTGATCTTGCTCAGCAGAAGGACACCCATAAACCTTAGGAACGTCGCCCTGCAGCCCCTCCCTTGGATGCCCAGCCCCTAAAAGCTCTCCCAGACCTTTGAGAGCCTACCTTGACAGTACTCGTTAGTCCATATTCATCTCCTTAAAGGCTATCAGTTAATGAAGTAAAAACTATCAGACGTTGAGATTAGGTCCGACAGACCCTAGTCAGTGAGGGGACTTCTCCGCAATATTGGAGACTTCACTTCCCAGAAGTATGCTGTTCAGTCATAATAATACGTTTCAAACAATGATCTATTCGGACACATGCCATTTTCAAAGGCAATATTTGGATGTTATTTGTCTCAGTGAAGCTGAGTAAGTTAGGGAAGTGTAAATCACCCCACAATATAAAGTCTTACGGAGTAGGCAACTAACTGAATGCGGTTGGTCACAAATATTGGGTAAAAACTAATTCGTTAAGCAGCATCAGTTAAACTTAATGTGAGTGTAATCACCGGATATGAGCAATTTCTCGGCAATGGTGATTCATATGCCTAATCAGACTACATTGTACATTGAAAGCTGAGCACAAATGAAGCCGAAAGCAGTTGGGCATTGAATAAATTTGCGCCGTCTGCAGACAGCCTGTGAGACCAAAGTTAAACACTGGCATGGACGGGGCGAGGCGGAATTTGGGTCTAGTATTGTTTGGTGTCATACAGAGTGTAGCAGTGGTTTAGGTCCATGATGTTGTAACCAGAGTCATTTGAATAAATTAAACCAAAGATGCAATCCTATTCAACTACTGTTGTCGTATTACGGGGGCGAATGTATAAGGTTTTACCATTAGACCATTAAATAAGGCTTCAGGGTCAGCGCTTCATGTGAGGTCGCTTTTGGTTAGCATCGCCTCAAGGTGAGTGGTTGTCAGGAGTCGAAGAACCCGGATGTTTGGATGCAAGCAGCATCCGTTATCAGCATTTTCAGATGCAACTTCAGTTGGAGGTGGGGATCAATTGCCTTCTGGTTTTTAAGTCTTTGTGTTGAATAACGATAGCTAGCACAAGTTGAATGAAATTTCAAAGTATATTTCAGTGCTGAGTGTGCGTTGGTATGATCTGCGGTTATAGTCTGCATGCCGGTATGAGAGGTGGAGTTAGTTTTCTTAGAATACAATACTGAAGACTAAAGTATCTAAAGGGGACACGAGGAATAAGGGGCTGCATAATTTAGCATTGTACTTACAAAATATCTTTGGAGTCTCACACGATGCACTCCTCTTGTTCGAGTCTAAGCTGAGTCACAAGTGCCTTGAGATGGTGACTGTTTTTGCACTTGAGAACCAGTACACGGAATTCCCGAACATTTGAATAGTAATCCTACTAAAACTGCCAATGGCGCAAACCAGTGAATAAATCTAGTTAACAGATTCCAGGCCGACATAAAGGCCGAAAAATTCACCACCTCCCAGGAACGCCTCACTTTTTGAAAGTTATAATGATAATAATAACAATATATTTCATACAACATAAGTCACATGAATACAACCAGTTTACAGGTTTGATCGTTTCGCTAATGAGAAACGACTGTTATGTATAGTGTAAAGCTATACTTTGGATACCGTTATTCATGGCACACAAAGCGTGTGTCTAAAAAAGAACGTTAACGCTTCACAGAATAATCGCTCAGCATACTGAACATACTCCCAAGTTGCCTCAGGTAACTGCTGATTCTGTGGACATGGGCAAAACAACTTTGGAGTTATGGCATAATGGGTCGGCTGCCTTCCCAAGATATATTAAGGTAGGTGACTGTAAACCCGCGGCACAAAGGGGGGCTGAAGGGAGACTCAAGCCTTCCACGCGAAACGATGGAACAGTTTGACGATGAACGAGAATTTTTATCGACCTCTTCCTGGTTCAAAGAATTCTCTGTCAGTCCTCGACCAGACAAGTAGGCGAACGTAGTTACCTTTGGTTCTGTTTGTTTATCGACGAAAGCCTCTTAAAATCTGGCAACACAGGCTCCTTGATCAAACCTACTTCTGGGACTACCGGTCCTCACACTCACATCCACTGCATCTGTGATAATATGTATGACCTGCGTCCCAGGATGCCTGAGTTGTGGTTGTTGGTTGATGAGAATAGCCTTAGTACAATGCCTTTCTGAGAAAAAGCCCACGCAGAAAGCAAAAGAGGTGAAAACTCACCCGAGAAAAGTAAAATTAATACGGAACGATAAATCAGAAGGCTCAGGAGACGGTGTTACTCTGCACACGTGCTTCCTTTGAGATTTTCTCCTAGAGGGCTAGCACTAAAGATGTACTCTGGTGGGGCATTTGATGCTAAGACGCTCCCCGTTTGGTTGGATTCTTATACTCTCCTTATGAAGCCATGGCTACGTTAGGTGAGATGGTGATACAATCTGTCAGGAGAGCTCTTCTCACTGTAAGAGGTCTTAACTTCCCCCGTTCTCTCACTACTGAAAATCCATCTACTACTTCAAGGGATCTTCGGGAATTATCTTCGGAGTACTCCTCGAATGGACATGTTTCTCAATGCACTCAATTGGGGTTTAATGATAAGACATCTAGACTCGGCCATATTTTTACCGATCAGTTCATTGGGAGTAACCGACTTAAACTCCTTTTGCCCTATTGGGGTGAGTGACCACGCATGCGTTTCCCCAACATTTCTATATTTAAGTCGACTGCCTCCAATCATTCATCAGTCGGGGATTATAGGTGGACCGATTTTGAAACCGTCCCACAAGATCTAGAAGGTTCCGTTTGCTTAAGTTGCGGTGACCCCCTGGATCTGAAATGCAGATGCTGAGGGACAAAATCCTTCAAAAGATAAACGGTGACATTCATATGACTTCAT